TCCTCAACTTGGCAACTTTAAAATGTCTGGTTTTCAACTCCCAGACTCCACAGCCAGCAGGCCAAGGTTGAGTAGCACCACTTTGGAGGTTTAAGGCAGTTTTCACAACTCAGGCCCCAATCACTTAGAACCATAGCATCACAGCGCTGGAAGGAACCTAGGAGGTCTTGCCCCCTACTCAAGGCAGCTGACCTTATGACATCCTTGTCCAATCTTTTCTTGAAAACTTCTCGTGAGGGAGCACCCACAGCACTGGGAGGCAAGCCCTTCCACTGATTAATTATTCTCACTGTCAGGAAATTACTCTTTAACTCTAGCTTAGATCTCTGTTTCACGATCTTTTACACATTATTTTTTTGTCCTGCCCTCAGGTGCTTTGGCAAGTAAATTGATCCCTTCTTCTCTGTGACAGCCCCTCAAGTATTGCAAGGCTACTATCGTATCACCCTTGATCCTTCTCTTTAGCTAGACATACCTGGAGACCAGGCGGTGAGTCAGGCAGTTACAATGCTCAAAACAGAAACCCAAGGCAAGACAGGCTGAAGCAACTCCCATCCCTCCCCCCCAAAGAGGGTGCAAGCTGGGACAGAAGCCCAAGCTCATCTTGGCAAAAAAAATCACAAACCTGTTGCCTCGAGTCACGAGGAGGGTCAGGAAGGGACACCTGAGGGAGAGAACCGGAATCTGCTGAAACCAGCCCTTTGCGGGGAGACGGGAGCCCGGGGGGGGGGGCGAGGACACTTTGTGCTTGGAGCTGGTTCAGGACAAGCGTGTTTAACCTCCTGTCCCCTCCAGGGCTGGGCTGCCTCTGGGGACAGGAGAAAGAGGAGCGGCAGCTGCTCAGCCCCCCCCCCAATCTCCCGTCCAAAGAAGGCTATGCCAGAGGGGCCTGGGACCCCAGGGCCCTTTCACGGCATCCTGGTCTTCCGTGAGCCCTGGGTATAGATCAGTAGGGCTGGCTGGGCGGCCAATGGGAGGGTGCAGGGGTCCACAAGGTGCAAAGAAGACAAGATGCAATCGCCGTGCATGGCGTTCTCTGCTTGGACCTTCCGGGTGGGCCCTCAGGCTCTTTTTGCCACGCAAATCCTATTAGGGGAGTTATTGCTTCAAGATGGTGGAAACTAATTTGTAGTGCTAATTTGTAGTGGTTGTGATGATTTGGGATTCCAGGGGGTGCACACAAAGAAGACAGAGGCCCCATAGTGACCTGGGCTGCTGGTTACCCATCCCAGCTCCAAGGGGCATCTGTGGGGTGTGCGGTCAAAATAGAATCAAGATGGCAGCCGTGCTTTTTACTTGCATTACTCATCAAAAAAAGGAAGAAGTGTTTTGATTGTGTGGATTGGCCATCCTCTTGGTGTTTGGTCTCACCCTGGGGCAAAATTAGGCTCCAGCCCAATAGTGACTTTAGTGACCACACTATGAAAATGGTGCCGGGGAATTCTGGGTATCAAAGTCCATCCGTCTTCAACCTACCAAGGTGAAAAATGCTGCTCAAGAGAATCCAGCCCATTAACCTTTTCAGGATCGTCTGCGATGCTGCGTCACGCTGGGGAAGAAGCACCTCCCGGTTCTCCTCCAGACCAGACTCTACAAAAGATCAGAGCAGAAAGAAGTTGCGGGCTTTGCCAGGCCAACCTTCCAGGCTTTCCTGTGGCAGACCGTGTGGGATCAGCGGGCCATGAAAAGCATCGAAACTGAACAGCCTTCGTCTTCATTTGGGGGTGGGGGTGGGTTCTACTGCCAGGGCTGGCACCAGCTCAGGTGGTTCCCCCAAAGGATGGGGTACAACCACAAAGGCCCCAGAGAGCTCTCATGGAGCTTCATGTCTCCCTCCAGTTAGGGACGAGCCATCAGTCCCACATCCCGCACTGGGGCCTCCCCATGGCATCTCTTGGGCTTGGCATGTGAAGGAGGCCCCAGCCCTGCGGCCGCTTTCCCCGAGCTCCGGGGGGCAGGGGCCCCGGTCTGGTGCCTTGCTTGACTCTCTGGCACAGTCCCTTTCCGGCTGACCAAGGCAGCAAGAGCCCCAGCACGGAGGAGGGATGATCTCTCTCTCCCTCTCAACTTGCAAGTGACTCGGCAGCACACAACAAAGAGAGCTGCAGTTGTGTAAGTGGCCAAGCCTTCCGTGTGAGGAGATGGCTTCAGAGCCTATTTCCTTCCAGGGGTTACTCAATAGTAACATTAGTTGTCGTCGTAGTAATGGTGGTAATCACCATGGCACATTAATCTCTCAGGGGACGGTGGAGGAAGACCTGGTTGAGGGCCTCTGTGGAGGGATAACGGCTCTGGGAGGCCATGTGGAGCAAGCGCACGTCCCTGAGGGCACAAGGGCCTTGAGGGCAGCAAGTGTTGGGGGGCCCCCAACTTCCTCTTGGGAAGTAACTGGCCTTCCCCCTGAAGGGCCTCAGGAGCCCAGGGCCACTCCCTGCCTGCGTTCGTGTTGGCTCACTAGGGCAGGACAGCCACGTCACCAGTGGGCTGATCTGGTGGGAGGGATGTTGGTCAAGACTTATAAATAAATAAAGGCAGGAAACCAAAACTCGCTCGCTCGTGTGTCATTATCCCTTCAAAAGGAAACACCTTGGTGAATCATGGCTGGCTCAGTACCTCACGGGTCCTCCTCTCGAAAGGGAAAACAGCTGCACACTGCAATGAAAACAGGCAGTGCTGCTCCTGAGCACAACTGGCCAAACCAGCTATCCCAGCTCTCATAAATACTGACACCTGCTTGACAGATGAGGGAGACAGGCTCTCCAGGACGATGGGCCAACTGTGCCCAGCTCTGCTCCTGCTGAGGAACAGGGCCAGGTCATCCCAGGAGCCGACGGAAGGTCATCACTAGCTTGACAGCTGCTATTGCCTGATCCCCACGCTTGACATTTTAGGAAATTAAGTGCTTACTTACATGTCAGATCCCCACTCCTTTATCCAGATCTTTGGCCACAGTAAGGGTTAAAGCCTGTCCACAGGCTCTGGGCTCGTTTGCTGTAGGTCACGCTGCAGAGCCTGCCTGAAAAGCTGGTCACCCCGATAGCACCTATTCGTCCACTTCAGTGAGTGGCCTTTTTTCCATAGGCTCCTGGAGCAGGGCACGGACTGCTGTGTATTGCAGTACCTTTTTGTAGATCATATCGCAAAGAAAGCAAAATAAAAATCATCCTGCCAGCCAAAGATCCCAACAAACTGCAGCCACCATGTAGTTCCTGATCAGTTCCGGGAGTGGGTGGCTGGGGATTGGAAGCCTTTTGAAAGGATATGCCCCCCACTCAAATAGCTGAAATGATCGAGTGGATCTTCCAGGCATTAAAATTATCTTGTGACCTAAAGCTAAGAGTTGTTTCAGACTTTTGGTTTTCCCGGATACCCGTTGTTCCCTGGCCTCTGACTTCAATGGACAAAGAACTCTGGAGAAAAATGACTTGGTGAAATCGGTGAGAAGACCCCTTGCCCCCCCCTCCCCCGGGGCCTCTTGAGTCCTTGGGGGCTCCTGCTCGAATCTTCACTTTGCAGACAAGGGACAGGTATCTCTCTCTCTCAATCTCATTCACTCTCATTCTCTCTGCAGACTTCAGCTCACAGGGCAGGTACACATAGGTAGGATCACCTGGCTTCACTTCCTGCCTGAGATTAAAATCTCACCACCCTTGAGGTCATCACAGCAATTTGATTTTGGAACGTGACACATGTTTGCTACACAAACAGGCATCACAACAGTGTGACTCACTTCCGGAACACCTCTTGCTGCAAGACTTCATAGCCTCACAGAGCAAGAGCTGCCCACTCCCTCCCTCCCTCCCGAGGTGTGGTACAGCTCCAGAGGACGCTCAAAGATGTCCTCTTAATCTCATCTAGCCGTCTTTCTCCCTTTTCACAGTCACAGCTATGAACTCAACACATTCACAGTGGCTAGTCCTCAGTGGAACTACACCTACATGGAGGGAAGCACGCAGTAGGATAACACAGAGTTCTGTTTTGAGCCCAGTACTCTTCCATATCCATAAATGATCTAGATGAGGGCTAGAAGGGAACTCATAAAATTTACCAAGCTTACCAAGCTGGAGGGAATGGGCAACATCCCAGAATATAGCAATATTAGCTGCAGTTTCTGGCAGGTGAGTATAAGGTTGTTTAAATTACAGCGGAATGTTAACACTGATATGCAATTGAAAAACATTATTTTGTAATACAGTAAGCTTTATATCTTAAGCTTAATATTAATACTTATATATTAGGCCTAATATCAAGGTTTGAATTGTTAATTTGTTGTTGTTTATAAGTATTAGAAAAGAAAAAGCAGAAAGGTATAAAGAAAGTTGCTTGAAAAAGCAGACACTATTCGGTTTCTATCCCTTGCCTGGCGCCCCTTAAAGGGAGCAACAATCCAAGCTGAGTCTCCCTTTGTGACTGCACCTCCCATTCATGCTGCAGATCCCTGGCCAGCACCCCCTGCTGCATCCCCTCACCAGACCAGCACCCCCAAAACAGCCCAGGGGTAAAATACACCCACACTCCCCTCCTTGCTTTGCAAGGAAAATAAGGAAGCGCAGTGGCAGCGAAAAAGCCACGTCTCCAAACTGGGTTTCTACAAATGCACCAGATAACCCAGCAGGGCCCCAAGAAAGCAGTCTGGGCCCAGAGCTCACAGCTCTAGAGGGGGACCCCTCACCCGTGGCCCCCTCAGGAGCGCAAGCAGTGCTGCGCCAGAGCCTCTGCCCTTTCTGCAGATGTGGGCTCGGCTCCCAAACCCACCCTCTGGCCAGGACTTTGGGAACACGGGCAGCCACCCATTTTGGGGGTGGGGGAGTCCTGCCTGAAGCAGGAGGAGTGGGATCCCCAATCAAACAGGTGCTGCTCTGGAAGGATCGGGTCTGGGGCAGGCGGGGGGTTAGGTGGCCTGTGACTTGCTCCAGACAAATTGTAAATATTACTCTGAAAGAGTTTAATAGTAATTGGAATAATTTCAAAATGGAGTAAAATCATTTTTCAAGCAAAACTTCAATGCTGGAACAATTTTAATAACGAAATAATTTATTTTCTAACAGATGAACAATACAGAAGTATACATATACACAGCAAGTTTGTCTAAAACATGTAATTTCTAAAAATGCATGTGCTAACTGTAATAAAAAGCACCATTATATGGCCTTGACACAGGATTTGCAATGATGTGGTATTTACATTTGGAAACCGAGTCCTCACCCCCCCCCTTCCCCCTTTGCTGCTCCCTGCTTAGGCTGTGTTATAATTTGGAAGACTCCAAAACCAAATTCAAAAGTTCAGAATTGCAAGTGTTGTTCAGAGTGCCTACTTGATGCAGGTTCATAGGTAAATAAAAAAGAACAGCACAAAACTAAAGCAAGTCAAATGTGGGGGTACGTGAGGAGGGAAGAGCTAGTTTCAACAAACAGCGAGCAGATGGCAGCCAGGGAGAAACAGATTTTTAAGTGTCCTTCAACCAGGCAATGCAGTTAAAATAAAGAAGTTTGCTAAAATAATCTCGATACATACACTTTGTAGCATAAAAAGAAATTTCCTCTGCTGAATAATTTGGGATAGCTATTCTTTCAAACAAAAGCATCATTGATTCATAGTTGTACAATGAAGTTCAGGTAATTATAACAGGAAAAAAAGCCACTTGTGTTAACAGGAAGGGGGAAAAAAATCCAAGGATGCAACTTACTATTTGTAACTGGGGAACAAATGCATAACTGGATATGTAAAAGCCATATTTGTCCCAATACAGTTAAGTGTCAAAACCTGAATTTGTGACCAGGGGGGCAAAAGGACTCTGTGAGTCCCATTATATTGCTGTACATCGGATGCCAACATTTAATTAGGCAGTGAGCACGTAAAAAATACCCCCCCACCACCCCGACTTCATCCCTCCCAGAGAACACAGAGGACTCTTTCCTCCGGGCTGTGTTTGTAAACTTCATTGCAGAAATTCAGTTCTAAAGAGAAGCAAGAGAGAGGCTGGGTCCCCGGAAAGAGAGAAGGGCCCATTGCGGGAACAAAGTGCTAAAATGGCAGCTGGCAGTGCACACCCTGCTAATGCCCAGAGCTCTGCAACCTGGCAAGGTGAACATGTTTGTGGCACCTAATTACACATTTCAAATAAGTGCTTGGAATTTGAATCAAAAAACGGGTATTCACACAAACCCTTGAAAAAAGTTCACAAGATGTGTCTATCAGCACCTTGAAAGCTCTGCTTTATTAAAAAAATACACAGTAATAAAATTTCTGGGTGTTCAACACTCAGGAAAAGATTTACCAGGTAAAGACAATACTTTTGGGATATTTCAGATTGTCACCCTGACAGCCATGTTTATTTCTGATAAAGAGCACAAATTCTCAATTTCCAACCAAGTGTCCCCTGGATTTACTATCTGCAAAAAAGTTGCTCAGTGCCGCAGTATTTAGTGTGATCTTTTAAACGCGCACACGCACACAAACTTCCAGCTGTAAACACAGATACAGAAACACAGCTCCCCGTTAATGATCTACAAAATTAATTTTCTGTAGCTTATTACATAATAATGCTGGTGGATCAGTGAATACGGCAGAAAAGCTGGCCACACCAGAATGTCGCATTTTGAGGGCCCAGTTTACACGTTAACAGGACAGCAGAGTCCCTGCTGCTTGCACGACCGTTCCCCAGTGCCCTGCAGCATAAAAAACTCCAGCTCATCTCACTTGACAGGGCAACTGGTGTGGTGGTTCACCCACAGCTACACTGCTACTGAAAAACATGGCACAGTACTACACAGCCCTCCCGAGTGCGTGGGCAGGTTCAGACGTTATGGGGCCTGCATGCAATGGGCCAGCTGTCTCAGGAATGGACCAAAGGGGCACTGATGCGTGGAGCAGTCAAGACCAGTCCTCACCAAGACACTGGGAGGGGTCCTAAAAGCCTCTAGGACAACTCATTTATTCATTTAGATGTTTTTGAAACATCACAGATAGCTTTAATCTAGCTTTTGAAATTAGTGCATCCTTCATGGAGTTATAATTATTTTCTGTACCACCCACATTTTGAAAGGACCACATCCAGAAAGTGCAAAGCTCAATTACTGGTTCGCAAGAAGGACAACAAAATAAAACTCCAAAGTACTTTACTGAAGAAGAGGATGGTTACACCCCTCCAAAATTTATTTTCTCAAATTCACTATGGATGTATCTGCAGCTTCCATTTATTCAGAGCGGGAGTGCTCCTAGCCAGGAGAGGTCTGTAGTAAACTGTGCCCAGTAACTCACGAAAGGCACGATAAAAACAAAATAAAACACCACATAGTATACTAAATTTACCCTATCAAATACCTTCCAAATCAAAGGTTACTTTGAACTCTAAGATGACAACATGGAGTTGAATTTGAGAGGCAATTTTATGCAACTCATTAACAAACAGAGAAGCTCAAAGACCTCTGGCAAGAGACCTTTCAAATCAAGGGGACTCAAACTGCACGCTGTGGGAGCCCAGCCTCTGAAGGGTTTTCAGCAGGGACTCCTAGATGCAAGCCACCTGCTAGACTGATGCAGGAAAGTCTCCAACAAGGAAGAGCTCAGTGCAAGTCAGCAGGACATCTGAGAATTCCAGCTCTTGTTCCTTCTGTTTGGTTTTGTTTCAAGACAACGCCAAGAAATTGACATGGAGATCTTTAGCCATCCACTAGCTCCACTTCCCATCTCAAAAACTGACTTTCTTAAAATATATCCATTTTCATATTATTTGCTTGGATATCTGGTAGTGGATAGAAGCAAACATGGAATTCATAGTAAAGCGCAACTTGCCACAAAGCCCTTTGAGAGTGAAGTGAGAGGAAGTTGCTCGACTGTCTTTCTGACAGTCTGTAAGTGCTGGGCAAGAACCGGCTGCATACAAAGAACCCTTGTTAGAGGCCATTGGCAGCCGGTGCAAAGCAAAAAGACGGGAAGAAAGAAGGTTCATTAGACCTCGACATACAAAGTTTCCTAATCATCTACAAAAGCACAAAATCATAAGAATAGTACATTAGATTGATATAAAAAAAGGAATAAATACTATTTATAGACCACATTATGTACATTTACATGTGCTCTACTTAGCTTAAATGAAAAATGCTACGGATGTCAGGAGTGCAGAGACAGGGCAAAAAGGGGCAGAGAAGAGTTCCAACGTCCAAAATCCAGACGCAAAACCACACACGGCACATCGGGGTGTGTGTGTGTGTGTCTCCCAAAGGATTTCAACTGGTAAAAGAAGTGCGAGGATGCCAAGAGGGCACCATGGAATTCCTTTGGGGCAGTCTCCTCAGCCATTAATTGAAAGCTAGCACAGCTAACTTTTCCACTCGGTTATTGCTGATTTTTTAAGGAAACAGGTTGGGCTAGTACCAAGCATACAAACGAGGTGTCATAATTCATTTGTGCTAAAGGGGTTGAGATCAGCTTTGTTCATCTCTCTGAGGTAGAAATAAATTGTCCCAGAGACAAAAAGCAAGACTCAGCAGCCTGAAAAGCTGCTAGCAACAAAAAGGAACATGCAGCTGTCAATGCAAAGACGACATAATCAAGATTGCACAAGCATAGTATTTGGTCATCTGACGTGAAAATACAGAGATGCGCTGAAGCCAAGGCCTCCTACCAGAATAGGCAGCTCAAAGAGAAAACCATCCCCCAACTCCCATTTATTTAGAGCCTCCAGTACAATTCCACTCGTCTGGCTCTTCTTCTGCCAAACTCAGTTAGTCCCTTAATTACCTTTCTCAACCTTATTTCCAACCTCAGGTTGGCTACTTTATTACTACAATGACTTGGGACATTTCAGAATAATTTTTTAACAGTGACTGGAAAGATTCACTGCACAATTCCCTAACAACCATACGCTCTTTCAAGCCTGTCTTATCATTTTTAATTCTGCCTGCTACTGTGATACAACGAATGTCAAGAAAAAAAAGTAGGGTTCCTTCCACAGTGGTCATGCCTGAAGACTAGTCTGGCTTTTGTTTCCAAACAGCATATATCACCATCGGCCCTACTACCTCGGGGTGAAGATCTTCACCCAGAATATTAAGCAATTGCAGCACAGGCCCAAAACACGTATGTTGCTATTACTGCAACAATATTCTGGGTGCTAAGAATTCTGGCTGGAATGTTCAGTCTCACAGAGATGAATTTACTGATAGAAAAGAGAAGCTAGTGGATGCCAGCAGAAGTGTGCTCCAGGGAGGAACTTGCAACCCACAACACTATGCACTGTTTTCAGACTTAGGCAAAGCAGATTTTGGTAATGTTGATGGTACAAGAAGTTTACGTGCAAGAGAATTGTGGAGCGGTCCAACATACTACCTAGCAAAATCCAAGAAGGAAACAGCAGTGGAAGGGGCAAGGGAGGGGACGCTACTGGCTCCTTATAGGCTGAGGCAGGCCTTAAGATTGTTCTGCAGCTTTATTCTCTTAATGCCGGCACTTGAATAACCCTCATCACTGCAGATACTTTGCAAGCTGCCCCTCTCATCTGAATCACTGGGGCTGCTGCTGCTGCTCCAGTCGAGGTCCCCTGTGAGATAGTCTGTGCTTTCCACGTCCACATCAATTTCTTCTGCAATAACAGGAAGCAATATCAGTTAGGTAATTCAACCCTCCAGAGTCCCTCTTTGAAGGAGATGGGCGGTTTAGAAATGTGAAATATAAATAAATAAATGCATGTTGGAACTTGAAAGCGCGCACACCTTCACAAGTACCGACCAGCGTTTCCTCACCTCTGTCTGAATCTGACCGTTCAGAAGAAACCGTTGATCCTATACTGTCCATTCGTATACGCTCAATACCCAGTTTCTCCAGCTGCCTTTTCAGATGCCGCTGCTCTCGTTGCAACTGATCTATTTGGTGTATTGCTTTTCTGTCATAATCTTCAAGTTTCTGTGGAAGAAAATAGGCCCTGAGCATTAAACATTCAATGCCAAAGCCAATAGCTTTTATCAGAGGAGGGAACTAATTCAAGGGCAGCTAACTAGCCTTAGCAATTATCTCTTCCTTTCTTGCCATTTTACTTTTGTTTCCACATCTGCTTTGAAGTACACTTTAAGGTGGAATCTTTTGCACCAGCTTGTCATGATCTACCTAAAAATGTACTCCAAGGCTTAAAGTTGGAATGTGCTCATCAAGTGTGATATTAATTTTAACTGAAATGTCAAACATTTTATTTTTTCTCCATTATAAGCACGACAGCTTTAACTCACCTTTATGTGCAATTTAGCTTTTGTTAGTAAACTCAATGTAGTATGTCTACTGGATTCTGGCCCAAGAGGCACCAGCCCTTTAAGCTTCTCCAGACACAATCGCAGATGAGCACGCCTGTTAATCAAAATTATGTATGTTAATGTTATCAGAAAGATTTATTATAGGTACTTACATATTTTATTAACACATATCTAAGATAGACATTGACAAAATCCAATTACAGATTTGTAATTATTTCACCCGAGTCCAAGTTTTGAACAAGGACAATAAATTCAGGAACATAAACTATTCAGATGTACTCTGGCATAAGAAAAGCTACAAATTCAATGTTAAGACTTTCCATATATTAAGGAATCATAACCAATGTGCTATTGAAACTACAGACATATTCACATTTTAATTAATGCCCCTAAGCGTCAGCTCTATCTCATCCAATCATGCAGCAAAGTCTGTTGATAACCAGTATGTGCCTTTTAATTAGAGTTGGTAAAGATAAACTTGCTTATTCATAGTGCAGAGCAATCTGAAATAAGCTTCAAGAAGCATCATAAAGAGGCTGATGTCACACCTGCCTTATCCAGACCACATGGATATTGTTTTCACACTATTCATGGGACACCAATCCTGCAGGCACTCTTTCTTTTAAAAATTATAAGAAACAAATAGAGCATTTCATGTGGGCATTAGATTTCAAAAACATACATCCATGATTTTCTTAAACTTAACTTTTGTTAATTTAAGAATGTTGGAAAGTATTCCTGACCAAAAAAGAACATCCATTTGTAGATGTGTTATAAATGCACAAGGCACAATGAAGTATAATTTATGTTCTTTCAACTTCTACCGATTCTAAGGGAGAAAATAAAAGATGTGCTTAAATCTTCCTTGGATAGAAGAACTGAATTTGAGATCAGGCTGTATGACTCAGAATTGAAATTCATAAGTTATTTTATTGGGTCATGATTTTACTATTTAAACAACTGGGTTTTACTTAATGTAATTAATGGTCAGACAAGTTTACTAATATTGAATGAAGATCATTTCTATAAAAAGTACTAAAATTTGTACTTTATTACATGTTTAACTGAGCAAGCAGAAGTAGCTTTATGTTTAAATTGGGAAATTTTATTAACAAAATCCCTAGAACTGATTCTTTAAACATAAAATTGGAATGAAATGTTTTTGTTAGAACAAATAATAACGGAAAGTGGACTGTCAAATCATGAAATAAACTGAGATTCCCCTAATTAAAAGTTGCAGTTACAACTCAGGCCAATAATAATAGTTGGTTTAGCTCGCTTTAAATGTTGTGCCATAAATTCATACATGTCCTCTCACTATTATTTTATTTTTGTATTAAAAACAAAATGAATTTGAAAAGAATTTTAAATGAAACTTTCTAAAGAAAAGGAAACAAGAATTGCAAGCTGGATAAAAACTCAGGCCATCTAATATTCTGTTTCCTCAGTAATCAGCCCAGCCAGGAAGCCCACAAACACAATCCCACATCTTATTCTCCAGATAGCGGCACTGAAAGAGATGCAGTTAATGACCCAACGCCTAATAAGTACTTCTAAATGTTTCATAGTTTAAAAAAAAAATCAGGAAAAGCCATGTTCCAGTAAATATACACATGAATATTACATTCTGGCTTCAAAGAATTTTAGTAGAAGTGTACAAGTTTGCATTTGTGGTTAAGTGTTAAATAAATATCCACTACCCAGCTGCTCTAATGTTTATATTATCTAGCAATCCAAGAAAAACATGCAAGTAATCTTTAACAAACACATTCAGATGAGAAATTAATGTCACCAAGCTGAAAGTCTTAAATTTAACTTTAGATGCCACTTGTGCCAACCAACACAGAAGAACAATTTTATATAAAAATGCTAAACTGGTTTGCAACAATAAACCTGGTTCTCTTCCTGAAGTACCACACTCCAGACTGTTTAATATATAAACAAGTTTGAGTTTCTTTGAGTAGCAAGAATAATCAAACCACAAACTCTTTCTTATGGTGAGGGATGTAGTATGTCAGCTGGAAACACATACTGAAATTCTGACTTTAAGGTAGAATAGTATTCATCAGAAGAAGTAACAATCAATATTGCAAAGGATTAAGGCCACCAACATAAACATTTGTCAATTCTACTTGATTGAGATCAGCAGCCAGAAAAACTAGATTTGCACTGTTGTAATTTGCTTCAACACGGCATAATTTAACACGGTATAATTTAAGGATGCTTGTAGAATTTAAATATAAACTGTTTCTGAAACACTTACCTATTCTTCTCCATTTCATTATGTGTTGATCTTAAAGAGAAAAAAGAGAATCAATTAGTTAGCAACTATGGAATAAACAGGCATTGATAAAAACTAAATATACACAATAATTTCTACTAAATTGCCACTGCTAGTATTTATTTATATCCTGACTTTTCTTCAGGAATTCATGATGGCACTTTTCTCTCCCTTATTTCCCTAAAAGAAGCACTATATGAGGTAGGTGGGCTGAGGGAGAGCTAGGATCACACCGGTGCTAGTCCAACTTAAGACTATACCACAGTGGTCTCATTTCTCCTACAAAATCTTATAACCGTTAAGGATCACAATGAGTACTCCAGCTATATTACTCCCCCTCCCATTTAACTGCAATCCCATATTACTTGATTTAGTACTTGTACAAAAAGGATAAACTTAGCAAGACTTGTAGTCTCTGAATCTACAATATTCCAGATTTTTCTGTTTTAGATTGTCACAGTAGGACTGAACCAATCTATAGCCTCCCAATATTCATTGAAAAACCATCTCATGAACATTTAAACTATTTTTTTCTTAAATTACTTTTGCTGATTACTATTAATAAAGATATGTTACTAACATATCATTGGAAAATACTGCAGAAATTACCTCGCTACACTAAATGCCTCTCAAGATTTTATCTGTGCTGCTGAATGGTAATTATGTAGAAAAACATTTTCTTAAGGTCAGTTGAGCAAGTTCCTGAATTTCCTAAGGTCCATAATGCCCGGTCATTGGCTGTGCTGGCTGGAATTTTGACTTCTCCCAACATATTCAAAACACCTGAAAACCACCAAAACTATTCCTAGTTTTGTACAATGGTATTTTACTTTGCATGAAGTTACTAATTTTGTAATTATTTTGGTTAAGGCTTTTATACTATTAACATAGCCCTTAAAAAAAAAAGAAGTCTACATGGTTAGTTTTATCGAAGGACTCCGGGACTATACAGTTCAGTCTCAGCTCTTACATGGCATCACACAATTTCACACATAAAATAAAAGGAATGTACTTCTTGGAAAAAACTGCATCTCAAGTATGCTTCAAGTAAAAGAGTGAGATAAGGGGAAAGAGAAACAGAAGACAGAGGGTTAATCCTGAAATTTCCTTTGCCACTTCCTGTGCCATTCTCAAAGGACAGAAAACATTATGTATTCATCTCGAAGCCACTAACCACTGACAACAAGGATGACTTGCTTAGCTATGCTGGAAAACAGGCAGCCTGAATGAAGCTCCTCTTCAGTTTTGCACATGGAACTGAAACACCAAAATTAGCTTTAACTGTTAGTTTGTGATCTCTAAAAGACAACAAACCCTCAACCAAAGCTAAATTTGCTTTTTAGTTCAGAGGTTTGTTCCAGAGGTTTGCAGTTGTCTCGAGATGTTAACTCTAAGCCAATGAGCACCAAGAGCCGTGGTGGCGCAGCACTGCAGGCTAATTCTGCTGACTGCCGATTGCCAGCAGTTCGAATCTCACCCGCTCAAGGTTGACTCAGCCTTCCAAGGTCAGTAAAATGAGGACCCAGACTGTTGGGGGCAATATGCTGACTCTGTAAACCACTTAGAGAGGCTGCCATCTAGGGAGAACATTGTGTAAAGTTTTTAAAGGGGATAGGACACTGATTAGCATGGAGTCATTAGTGCCAAAAAGGTTTGTTACTTTGTACTGTAATAATTAACTGTAGTATTATCTGTTGTCATTTAGATTCTGTATATCACCCAAAGACCATGTATTGGATATCATACCTGGGCCAGTCAGTTAGTAGATGGAAGGGAACAATTAAATAATTTAACTTTATGCTCCCCTCTAGTAAACATCCATATTTCTGCAGCTCATACTGGTACATAGCAGCTCTATTTAAAGTATTCTGAGCATTTAAAACAAAAAGTACAAGATATAAATGTATCTTGCAAGCTATGACAGTTTTAAAAATTGAACATGAATTTTAGGAATTCCCATCTTTTTATCAGAAGCCTTCTCTCTCATGGGTGGTACCACAAAAACCACTCCCATCCGTGATCATTATTTGTTCGTGGATTCTAATAAGGGAAAAGTCATCTCAGTAGGAATGATTGAGGTGGGAGGAAATTAAAATCTTTTCTAGCAAGATAGCTGTTTCTTGCTTCCTTCCTGCTTAGCAGATGGCTGACTAGTTGGAGAATAGACAAAATAGGAATAACTCTGAAGGCAAATATGGTCACTGAACTACCTAGCAGTACTAAATTAAATGGCAATGTTGTTTACATGACACTAAATTAACCCAAATATTGGGCATCTCATGCAAACTCTGTCCTTTGTCCTAATGAGTGTAGCAGAGTAACGCTCTACCATACTTCATTTGTTTGAGCACGGCATGTCACATGAGAACAATTGGGTTTTGTTACCCTGAATTAAATGTGCTATGAGAATTCACCCAAGTAGTACTAGGCACAGGATAAAAAATACCAAAGATGTACTACAATCCCAAGCTTTCCCCCCCCCAAAAAATAAATCTTCCTTTTTCAATATAGATTTCATCTTTAACATGCTTTCACTAGAAAAGAGGGTTCAAGTACTTTGAAAAAGAACAGACTTCGAGTAAGCTAAATAATAATGCGTGTATGTTTTATTTCTAACAAACATGATCTCAGGATCACTGAATACTTTTCTGAAATGGTGTCTCAAGAAGCACCCCACACACTGAAGAGATCTCCTCATAGCCTACTGAAGACATCAACAGGAAGGAGGAAGTCAGGCTATGTTTTGATACATTTTTTTCAGAACATCAACCCTCAAGCTATTCTGGTTAATCCACAACCAAGAAGAAACAGAAATGAAAGAGAAAGGCATCAGCTATCCAATCGCCGGGCTTCAATTAAAGCTTTAATGAAGACTCACAGCTGGGCCACTAGGATACGTGGACAGCCAGAGTGGCCTAGTGGTGGAAAGTGCCGGGCGACAACCAGGACAGCGCGGCCTCCAGGCCCGTTCAAGGCCGCTCTGGGCCAGCCCCCCCCCCCGCTCAGCACCGGAGGGGGGGAGGGGGAGGAGGGGGAAGGGCAGGCCACCCGGCTTCCGAAGGGCTTCCGAAGAGCTTCCTGGGAAACGGCCGGGACTTGGCCCCGCAAGTCAGGCCTGAATCGAGGAACGGCCAGTTCGGGCCGCGGAGGACCCGCCTTGGGCACAATGACAGCCAGGCGACTCTGGCCGGCGCTCCGCCCGACACGCTTCTCGGGCGCCGGAGGGGGAGGGGGAGGGGGCGGACCGGGGGAGGCTTGGCGCGTTCGCCGCCTCGAGTCGGGGGTAGAAAAAGGGGGGAGGGGCGGACAAAATAGCATCATCCTGACCTGCTGCCGCCGCCGCCGCCGCCTTTCTTGGCTCTGCTCCTCCTCTTCGAGGCCTCCCTCTCCTTCGTGCTGTAGGGCAGCAGGGAAGCGTAGCCGTGCTCGGCTTCTGTGGAGAAAAACCGGCAAGCCCGGCGGTTAGTAAGCCGCGTCTCCTTTGTCTCGGGCCCTCGCGCGCCGCGAAGCTGCCGTTGTGTCCCGGCCGGGCAGCCACGACGCCCGGCGGTGGCCCGCGGAGGGGAGGCGGGGAGAGCAGGCCGCGCGGCTCCCCTGTCCCTCCCTCCCCCCGGGGACGGGCGGGGGGCTACGGGAAAGGCCGCGGTGGCCTCCCTACCGGAGGCGCTTTGTTCCCGGGGCGGCCTACCTCGCTCGCGGCGCTCCAGGAACTCGGCCGCCTCCAGCAGCATCTGGATGTTCTCGCACACCTGCGCGGCACCCGCCATTTTGCGCCCCGCGTCGCCGCGACGGGCTGGCCGGCTCGTCTTCGTTTCTCCACTACGCCGCCGCCGCCGCCGTCCCAGCGCCCGTCTGTGTTTACCCCACCTCAGCCTGACAGACTCGGCGCAGCCAAGCCCTCCCCTTGCGACCGCAGCCCAACCCGCTACCCGCCCAGCGCGGCCACGATTGGGCGCCAGGCGCTGCTTCCGCTCTCCCGTTTCTCTGATTGGGCCTTCGCGGAACAGAAAGGCCCAATTAACTTTGTCTCCTCATTTGCTCCAGGCATTGGCTCAGTCGCTGAGAGGCGCTTCACAACGATAATCGTGCCGCTTGATTGGGTAAGCCCCATGATGACGTTTCCTTCGACGGTTCCATCGCTATTCAGCTTTGCGTGAAACAGAAATCTCATTGGCCAGTCTCCGCGGAGCAACATCCCGTAGCGTCCCTCATAGGTCTGAACTCTGTTCAGCCTTCGGATTGGTCAACTCCCCCAGGTGTCCCGCCCTGCTTATTGTGTTGGTTTCGGTGCTTGGCCCCTCCCCTGGCCACGCGTTTGTTCTATGGTCCTCCCAACCAGAAGGAAGTCAACATCGAGCCAGCGGGGAGCATGCGCGTTGCTCGCCTCTCCCACCTCCAGGGCAAGACGGCCTTGCAAAGCCCAGGCGCCTCTTGCGGGTGGGTGTCATTTCCCGGGCCTTGATGCAACAAGACCGACTCTGGTGTTATCCAGAATTGCAGGACCTCAACTCCCATAGTTCCCAAGCCACACATCTTAAAGCCCCATGGCTAGGAATTCTGGCAGTTTTAACTACACATCTTAAACTTGTCGAGTTTGAAAAACTGTCCTAAATTAGCCCAGGAGTGTTAACTCTGATCCCAAGGAAGTCTCTTCAGCGTGAAATCACTACCCTGCTTGGTATGAAAATAGGCTTGCTGGTATTTTACCGGAGCAGCACATGCAACGGTGTGCAAGCCTCGACGAAGGATGCCTGGATGAACCTGGGCCTGCTGGGGCTTCCCTCTCCCACCCCACCCCACCCCCGGAAAAGGAGGGCACCAATCCACGATTAAGGCCCCCATTGCAGAGTGCAGTATTTAAAACCCCAAAACAATATATTGAGAAAGTACATTGTATTTACATTGATGTATTATTCATATATTTATTATAAATATATAATTCCATGGGTGCTAAAATAATTACACAAGCGGAAATTCCAGCTTTATCAGTTTTTCAAGGTGGTTCTACATGTAAGCTCATCCCATTTTAAAATGTGACTCTCGCCTGTCTGCTTTATTTTTATGACACAACAGAGAGTAAGAACTAAAATGTTTTAATTTAAATAAAAGGACCCCTACAAAATACTTTCTAGCAATATTTCACATTCCAGTAGCCAAAACAGCACCCTGAATGTCTTATGCAGGCTTTTGTGTATTCATAACGCTTGCATCTGTTGGCTTCTGGGTTTGTCTGAACTTGTGGCTGGAATAAATCCCATTACCATTCTAGGTCAAAGGAAGTTAAGCATTTGATTTTAATTTGGATTATGCCTCTGCTTAATTACTGAAGCAAACATAACTATTCCAATAATAGCACAAAAAAAATCCCATTTTTGCCCAGAATTAAGTCTTGTTCAATAAATATTACTCCCTACTGAGTATGCTTGCAACTGCAGCATCAAGGATAAGGTTTGATCCTGCCTTTGAAGAAAAAATTAAATCCATACTCTGCCAGCAACACGGACAGATCCCCCAAAAGCAGATTCCTCACCATGACAAAAGGACCAGAAGTTCTACTGTATAGCTTCTGTCTGGATTGAAATATAATGGTATGCGCTATATCCGAAGTCTGGAAGAGCCAGCAATCTGAGTGCTGCTAGTCAACTGGTGTAAACTAGTTCGCCCCCTATGGTGCATCAAGGATAGGCACGCAAGTGCTTAACAGAGTGAACTAGCAACTTAGGCTGTGAGGACTGCATTGTGTATCTAGCATCTGTAGATTTCCCTGACATTGTACGCCAAACACTAACTAAATAAATAGTGGCTTGCAAATCACCCCCAGCCCATTCCCACCCCAGTTAGAAACCTTTTAGCTGTAACAGTGGTGTTGCTGGATTTTCATAATTATTCTTAAATTCTGCCCTAAAAACCCAGGCGATGTAATTATGCAAATCAAATATCCCAAACAATGCCAGTGAATTGCTGGAAGAACTTAAGGGCATGATGCAAGCATACAAGAGAAATGCTTCAATCACTTGCTGGTTTGAGTGCCCTCTGCTGGATGGAGACAACCAATACAGGATCTGAAATCATTACTTGGCTGAAGAAGCAAAGGAACAAGCAAAGCAAGAAGCTAAATCCCATTGTGCTAAGAACCATTGGTCTTCCGGGCATTGTTTAAAAAGAATTCAACAATGGAAAAATTAATTTCTGTAAACATCAACATAGTTTAGGAATCAAAGTATTACCAATTTTTGATTCTGTCTTTTAGGAAAGTTGGTCTAGTTCAACTTTACTCAAGGAGACAATCAAGATTTTTTTTAATTTAACTGACAATATTTAAAAGAGGAAACCTACAAATGTGGAATAGCAACACCAGAAAAACCACTCTGGATAAACATACATTTGAGAGAGATACTTTAAGGAATTATTCACAAAAATGACCCCCCCCCTTTTGGGTGAGAAGATAAAATCTCTTAGCCAGGCAGATGTGACTACAATGGGGGTTTTTATGGGTAAAACTGCAGACAAATCAAGCAATAAAGTCCAGGGGCCTGTTGAATCCACCTTTTCTGTTCATGTACTGCCTGCAACAAGAGAAACAAAAGTGAGCCACAATATTTTCCACAATATCTCTCTCTCCTATTTCTAAAATTTCACTAGGCACTGCTCATATATTAGTAAGCCATGCATTTTTAAATGGATTTTTATTTTAAAAACACAGTCAATATTCCCAGATAGAAACAAAATAGGTGTATTAAGCCTGATATACTTACTTATTGCAGTTAAAAAAAACCCCAAACCACAAAAAGTTGTTTCTATTCTCTTTCTCTCTCACACACATTTAAGCAAAATCTGAAATAGCACCACAGTTTATGGGACAGATATACGAGTAGGTTTGGGAAAATATAAAAATAGATCAAGGAGACAACCCCACTTCCAAATAACCAAGCAAATATTCCAAGCTGGTTAGTGGCCATATTAAACTATTCACCACTGGATGGAAAACAGAGAACAGGGAAGCATGAATGGAGTAAATAGTCCTGGGTCTGGGCACACTTAGCACCCTGCATGCTTGCATATCTTGTTACCGATCACAGTCGTCACAATACAGAAGCGTCTGCAGGATGGAAGACTTTCATCAAAATGACAAAAAGAGTGTTGTGCTACTGCAACACAAACTCTGTCCCTTTTGTACGTGTATATGCAAGGTCTAATCAAAAGAGTAAGGATCATCAAAGCTCTATTTGTTTTTTTACATATATCTCATATAGAAGTAAAGCTTCAAACACAGTCGAGTTTTTGACCATACTCTGTGGATGATGCCCTTACAAAAGATTCTGACAGAAAAGCAGCCCACAGATCTAAGGTGCCAAATAAATGGGAGCCATGGACTGAGGCAGGTCAACGAAAGGAAGGCCAAAGGGGCTTGGAGGATTTTCAAGTGCCAAAACATCTTGGTTATCCTGGGATATTTGAGACTTTGACCAAGTGGGTCACTGAATGCCCAGATACCACCACCATATAAATGGCCCCATAAAAAAATCGCCAGGTTTGAACTACTGTGCCAGCAATTGGCAATCGTGAATAGGGTTTGCCCTCACATGGCGTCTGCTGAAATTCACTACCTAAATGGGGCACAACATCATCCCCTCAGTGTGACTGTGGAGCTCCACATCCAACTCTTTCTTAAAGCCAGAAATCTTTTGTTTCTTAAACAGAAGGAAGCCAAAGCAATTTTTGTAAAGATTGTGCTGATCAAGTGATGCTGAGCAGAGGGTCCAGCAGCTCCTATGCACAGGGGCCAATCGGTTCAAGGGAATAAATGCCAACCTGTATTTCCGTTTCTGTGACACGTTTACAGCATAAGCATTTACAGATCCGTCTACTTTCTTGCCCTGCAAGACCAAGAAAAAAGCAGTCACTTTCAAACAACTGAAAGGATGGCAATCGTCCTCTCATCAATTTCTTTCTCCACTGCCAGCCCGACATGTTTCACTTCCTGTTACTTCCAGTTCTCAGACTCAGCAGCAAGTTTACCATATACCCAGAAGACGCAGAACAATGGGCAAGTAGGAGAAGAATTATATATTATCTCAGAGGAAGGCACAATAATAATGCAATTAAATCACTATGTTTCAAGAAATCTAGTCCTCTTTTCTGTTTCTTTTTTTAATAACTTCAAATTTTTGGAAGTCTGCCAACTCTGCCACAAAGCCAAATTTAATTATGTCCAAAAGTTTACAGTCAACAAACGTGTCCACTCCAGTTGGTTCCTGTGGCAGGGATGCTCCCTTTGCTTGAGTCATGGGCTCTTATTTATTTATTTATTTATGAGACTTATATACCGCTTTAAGTGCAAGCACTCTCTAAGCGGTGTACACCAGTAAGCAATGTATATATATATTTACATTGCCCCCAACAATCTGGGTCCTCATTTTACCTACCCTGGAAGGATGGAAGGCTGAGTCAACCCTGAGCCGGTGAGATTTGAACTGCTGACCTGCTGAACACAGTCCGCTAAAAGGGCCTGCAGTACTGCACTCTAACTGCTGCGCCACCTCGGCATCTTGACCACCATTGCATCCTGGGCCTCCTGAAGGGATTTTGACCATGCAGAAGTTGGTTTGTTTCATCTGGGCTTATTTTTTAAAAAAAGTTCAAGGCGTGCAGTACTGTAGCCATTTCTTTTTGGAACCAGGAGAAACCGGTAAAGGCTCTGCCAATTTCCCTTTCCAGGTAAGTCACAGGAAAACAGTCAAAAAGCAGGGGCATTATACAAAAATCGCTGCTCAGAATAGCTCCAACCTCTCAAAGTCGGCTTTTAAGGGCTCATTTTGCTTCATATCTATGGGAAAACAGTAAATTACAGAAAAGAAGCTGTTCTCTACATTAGTTAGGTCTACTAAAAAGAACTCTGTTAAGGACCTTCATTTTTTATTCAGAGGGAAAATGCATATATGATAAGAATAGTTTCTTTTCCTTTATTGTGCTTCTTGGTTCTCCCGTTTTTACATTTTGCACATTAATTTCAGGTGGTGTGGCACTGCCTTTAGCCGCATGGAAGTGTATTCACCAGACTTTCTGGCTTGTGATATCTCAGAAGTATTGCTCAAACTGTACACTTAAATGTTTTGCAATAAAAGTGGGTCTCTCTTTTTTAAAGCACAAGAGTTTCTCAAAAGTTGGATTCAGCACTCACCAATGTTGTAATTTTTCTGCACAGTGCAGACATCCTTGCACATCCTGCTTGCAGCTTGCCACCTTAACAGCAGATATAGCTGACACAAACATTTTAAAATTTAAGGAAAAAAATGTGCTTGCCTTTGTGGTGTCAAATCCGGCAAATCCCATCATTTTCATCATTTCAATTTCTTCTTCTGTTTTGCCTTCCAGGTCTTCTTCTGCACAAGAAAACAAGAGATGACATGGAGATAAAATAGCTCATTCCCAACCTGAGCATGATCTAATATCAAGTTTAACAAATGACCCTAGAGCAGCAATGCAACAGCAAACTCCTTGACTCAAAAACCAGGGCAACAGAAGCTTTTCCTGTATTGCAGCTGGGCCTGAAATGGATCTAAGCTTCAACTATGCTTACAGCTGGATGGCCACCAGCCTCGCCATGAAAGGGATCTATGAGCAGTTGGGCCTAAACCTCACGATCCTTTTCCTCAGGAAACTGATCCCCAGAGAGAGACCTCATAAACTCAGAAGTTATTGCATTAGGTCCAATGTGCTTTATTGCTATTATTTTGTTTCTCATTTGCAGTCCTGCAATTTTGAACAGAATATTGTTGGACGTGCTCAAAAAATAGACCATCCAACAACAATTGTAATCAGGAAGGACTATGCATTGGAAACAGGTGTGGCTTTATTAGAAGTGATCAATAATGATGTGCAAAACTTTTAAGGTTTAAATACAGGACATTAAGAGAATGGTCATCAGAATTTCATTTTTTATACTATGTGCCAGTGTTCACAGAAAAAAGTGACAATAAAGCTTATCTTATCATTAGCTCTCAGTAAAGGGATAGGGAGGTTTTGTCGCTCCAAGACCAGGAAATGACCAAACGGTCCAGTGTGGATTGTTCAAATGCTTCCCTGTCCAATACACAAAGAGTGGAAACCGAGACCCCACAGCAAGGTGTGCCATCTATGTAGCTACCTGTGATTTGACGTTCTTTGCCTTTGACATCTTTGCTCTCCTTCTCATCCTCTCGCCTTTCTTTCTGCCGGGAAGGAGAAGCAGAACTAGATCTATGCCGCCGAGGAGATCTAGAATGTCAAACCAGTGCAGGTTTCACTTTAACAGCAAAGAAAATGATGAGAAGTATTTGTATTATGAGACAAAAAGAAGAGAGTTTTTATTATTTTCAAATAACTAGAACAGGGGCATTAAAGCAGAAGCAAGGGATGCATGCTAGAAGTATAACTGCATCCTCATAAATAATCATCACTGTTTGTTTTCCTTTAATGTAGGGATGTGGCAGGAAAAAGAACAGAGCTAGATCAGTCTGCCTATCACAGGAATGCAGTCCTCCTTGGAGAGGCCTCAAGATAGCACATACTGGGTCTGCTTATTCCTCACAACCTGAAAGACAGATTACACTGAAGGCTAGAGATTGCTGCATGGACACCCTAGTCCACGTGAAACCATGAGTATTCACATTCTCCCTGCTATAGAGCTACCGTGTTTCCCCCAAAATAAGACCCAATCTTATATTTTTTTGGGTCTCCAAAGGAGGCACCAGGTCTTATTTTTGGGGTGTGTGTGTCTTTTCCACTCACCTCACAGTGAAAGAATCAACAGCCTCACCCAGCCAGCCCCCTTCTTCTGGGGCCAAAGGAGCAGCTTCATTCTGCAGGTGGGAATGGAGCTCCGGCCTGCATTTCACTGTCAGAGGCTTTCTGGAAGGCCTTTGCAGCCAAGAACCGAGCTACGGATTCAATCCATAGCTCCGTTCTCAGTTGCAGAATGAAGCTGCTCCTTCGGCTGAAGAAGAGGTGGGCCGGCGGGGCAAGTGTCGATCCATGGGAGGCCTGGCTGCAATGGTAAGTTCCAACCCGCCCTAGCTTGATTTTTAAGCATGCGCCTCGCCCCAAAACTAGGGCTTATTTTTGGGGTAGGGCTTATATTAGGCCCACCCCCCAAAACCAAGCTAGGGCTTATTTTCAGAATGGGTCTTACTTTCGGGGAAACATGGTACCTAAAGATGTGACCAAGTGAGATTTGACTCCTGGTGAGGACACAGATACAGCCAGGTAATATTCTTGGCAATGACATGCCAGGACATTGCCTAGTGTCTTCCCTAGAGACACTTTTCAAGATCCTAATCTAGCCACACTATTCTCTGATCTCCTACCCAAACACACAGGTTGCATTCTCATTAGCTTCGAGTCTAGGCAAGACAGCCCTGCACTGTCACCTAATGGGACATTCAGACAAGGAGCATCTAGAAACCAGATAAAACCCTTACTTCAGTCACTGACCATCATAAAATGAGAACTACAAAAATTTACAATCATTCCAGTATGGACAGCCTATATAAAATTTGAATTACTAACACAGAGCTGTACAATTGTTGTATTCTTAAGCTCTATATGGAAATTATATTTCTAATACTATGCAAACTATTAGACAACACAGTGCAGCAAGTATAGTATATTTATGTATAAAATGATATGAAAAAATAATAGCATCCTTGTAATTGTATGTTAATATTAAAATGATCATCTTGATGTAAATTATCCAATTCCTTTGTTTTGATTGTCAGACCTAAATTATTTATTTGGATACAGTTATAAATATCAGCTAGCTATGCTTGCAAAAACCCTTATAATCAGCAATAAATTTGTAGCCATGATACTAAGGAGTAACTTCAATTTGATTACAATTTAATAAATGAACAGATATTAGAAAAACAGTAATTATATATATTTTTCTTTTTTGAAATAATTGTTAAAAGAATCTCAGTGAGACTGCACAATTTCTAAAGTCTGTTTAGATAAGGCATTTAGAAGAGTTTTGATGTTTCCAAATTTATATTAGATGAAGTAAATAATTCTGCTCCGTCATAATTTCCCACAACAATGGCAGTCAGCAGGGCTATTCTTATTTAAGCTTCCTACTATTTATGGAGCACAAAGAGTTAGTTGCTACGGTACCACCATCGTCACTTTCTCACCTGGATCTCCGTCTATGTGGAGAACGAGAACGGCTTCTCCTTCTGTCTCTTTCTCGAGATCTTGATCGCTCCCGTCTCCTCCTCTCTCTTTCACGTGAGGTGGATCTGGAACGCCGACGTTCTTTTTTATAGAGTAAAACAACAGATGTAATAAGTCCCCTGGATTGAAGAGGAATATTTCTCCTAAACTAATATATTACACCTAAAATACTTCAGCAAATTTGGTCCTCCAGATACAGATGCTTTACAGACTGCTCCAATGTTAAATAATTCTCTGAGGGATCCTTAGTGCTCTCTGAGCTTGGTTGTTTTCTTGCAGACATTTAAATAATACTGTTTTTTTAAACTGATTCTATGGTTTTATTCTTCTTCTATGAAACGTATAGAGTTCATTCCAATTTCTCTTGGTTTAGAATAAGCAAAACATATTCAAAGGAAAAACATAAAAGGTATTTTGCCATCAACAGTTATGTGTCATTTAAAACACCGTTCTACATCCTGCAATGTTCCCTTGAAAATGAACAATAGACCCGGAGGATACTGGAGAAAAGATATTGGTCATAAGCATGGATTAGGCTAAAAAAGAAAGCAGCGCAGCTTTGATAGTAAAACACAACTGGCTTTTAGCTTTATATAGGATCGCATGAAAATCACAAAAGCTACCTTGAAGACATTTTAGTCAGTTTTTTTTTAATTCAACCTTAACTGAAGGGCGAGGAAATGAGAAGAGATGGAAAAGGCCAGGCCTGCCTCTGCTGTGTCAGATGAAAACGAAAGGCCCGTCCTCCCCACCCGCATCGGTCCACAGCCGGAGGCCAAGAGGCGCAGCCCATTTTTCCCCAAACCGCCCGGGGGGGGCTCGAGGGAAGGAGACCCGGGGGCCTGCGAGGAGGGTCTGCGCCGCGGCGAAAGGCAGCCACCGCATCCCCGCTAAATGCGCTCCGACGGCCTCGGGGAGAGGAGGGCTGCCTCTCTGGAGCATGGTGCGGGACCCGGACTGGGCGGAGGGAAGGCCAGGAAGCCGCAGACGCGGAGGGCCCCCAGAGGAACCGGGCCCCGCCGCCCCACAATCTGCCCGCGAGGCTCACCCCTCCGCGGAGGCGACCGGGAGCGGCTGCGGCCCATCGCGACTCCTTCCCGGCGCCCGACGGACGCGAAATGCGCTTCCGGCGCTTGCTCTCCGGAACTTCCGGTGAGACGGCCGTTTCCTTGCACCTCCGGGCGGAAACGGCTTCCGCGCCAGGGGTTCCGCCGGGGGCATCAGCCGGTGCGGCTGCCTTTGGCGGGGCGCTCCGAGGGGAAGCCCGCTGGTTCGGCTGGGGGGAGGCGAGCAGCGCCCGCGGCTTTGGGCTGCCCTGGGTGGGAATTATGTTTTTAGGTATCTGAAGGGCGCCGTTTTTGGATGGCTGTTACTCCTAATTGTTATTATATTCCAGCTTTTGAATGTATAACTACAGTGACCACATGTCCTTTATTATAAAGACAGTCCTTTACTTCAGAAAGTCTTTATTACAATTTGCATTTTTATAAAGTTTTTCTTGGTTTTGATCTTGAATTTTCACTTGAAAATAAAAGTTTATAACAGTTACAATTTTTTATCATTTTGAGCCTCTCAGATTTGCCCCATTTTCAGGTTTGTCCTTAATTTTTCTTAAATAAAATATGTTCCCCGTATTATAAGGCATTGAACATTCCTGCCTCCTCTTTCCCCCCACAACCCTGAGAGAGATGGAAGGGCCGCAAGTCCTGCATCAACTCTCATGTTTGAAGAGGCCTAGAACTGGACTGCTTTACTGAACTGCTGGTCCCTTTCTGCCTGCTTCCATTAAAGGATCAAAGGATGTCCTAGGAGGAGAACTCTAGCATTCACACACTGCTTTTCCCAGGATGGTGAGCTGGATTTTCCTGGATGGAACTTAATACCACTAGGAACTCTTGATCTTTGGCTGTGGCTTGGCTCTTGTACAGCCTTTTTATTGACCACAGCTGGTGGAAATGAAGTTTAATCTTCAGGGCTCCATCGCTAGAGGTCTTAAGACGAGACTGGATGGCCATTTGTCTGAAATGGTACAGGGGGTTGGACTAGAAGATCTCCAAGATCCCTTCCAACTCTGATATTCTATATGTTTAAGAAGGGACTGCCTCTGGGGAGATTCCTATCCAGCTGTCATAGGGCAAATGCCAGAGTTCAACTTGGAGATGGTTTCAGCTCCCCTTGCCACTTCCCATGGTCTTAAATAATCAAATGGTTGCTGACCTAAAGCCAAGAAGTGCAGCAGGATGTAAGGCCATGTTCATAGGTTACAGTATTCTAGCAAGAATACATAATGCCTCCAAATGAAGAGTGCTACCAAAGTATTTACCATTTTAAAAGAGCTTTTCCCCCCTGGAAATAATTGTCCATTTTGTAACTGGAATATACTAGAAGAGTGTAATTTACCATCTAGTGCACATGATGTTCAACTGCTGAGAAAAGTATGATCTGGAAAATGGAATTTCTACCAGTAATCTTTCAAAACAGACTTTGATGGGCCTGATATTTTAGCTTTTGACTAAGTGTCTTGTGCTGGTTCATATAAAAAAACAGACATTTCCAAAACAATTTGGTATTCTGGTAAAAGTTTATTGGCATATTCTTTTTCTTTTAGATTCATCAGATGAGACAAAAAGCTGTTTAAGGAAGTCTCTTATTCAGACATTTAGCAATGTTTGGCCTAGCAATGTTGGAATTGGGGGTGGCCACCACCACCTTGGCAGAAGAGTATAATTGCTTTACTACCATTGGATAGTCAAGCAGAAGAGTGTAGACAGCCACCTTTAAGAAGAAACATGCATCAGCAACAGCAGAAAGCAGCACAACTGGGAAGGCCTCAAAACTGCTAACTCACCAAATTCTTTTGAAGATAACTACTCCAGTGTCTGGAAACAAAGTATGGTATAAAAAGGAAAATATGAAATTGCCAAGGAACACAAACCATCAAGAATTAAATTGCCAGTCTAATTTTCTCAAGAAATGAATGTACAGAAAAAAAAACATGGTTTTGTGGAGTAACTGAACGAGAGAGGAATCTTGAGTTGCACAAGTGATTGCTTGATGAGCAAATTCATTGACTTTACAATGTCAGTCAAAGGCCAAAGTGAGGGGGGTGTCTTTATTTACAGAGGGAGACATTAAATAGCACTTTAAAGCAACGATTGTCAGACACAGACATTTAATTTTTGCAGCTTACTTGATATACATTGCATTATTAATACATCTTCTGACTGACCTGGGCCTCTTTGATAATTCGGGGTGGGTGAAAGACCCAGGGCCACTTTTTCTCTTTCTCTATGGAAGACCACATCCAAAGACTTGGGACCAGTTGTGGTTCAGGCTGCTCTTAATACCAGGATGCTGCACTTTGTTTAATAGTTGAGGAACTCAACAACATGATCCAAGAATAAACTGTCTGCTACAGAAATATAAACCTACCAGTAGTTCTGGTTTGATGTTTGTTTGTTGGATATCAATCATAATTTCAGCAAATCTATCACTGCCTTTTCTTTGTTTTAGAAACACCAGTTTGTTGTTTTTGCAAATTCAGTGTCTCAACATCCTTACTGAGATGATTAGCTTTATCTCAGGCTATGTATGCTTTGCAATCACATTGTTTTGCAGATGTAAAAAATGATTTGGGGCACAATATCTCGCACTCTGGAAGTCGTGTATCATTTCTAAGACCATACACAGACCATCCTCGTGCCTCTCTCTCGAGTGGCCTGTGTCTCCTGCCCACCTTTGCCCACTTCCAGATCAGCAGAGAAGCCCTCAGATTTTCCCATCAGCACCAAGTTCATTTGAGAGCCAGAACAGGTGAAGATGGAAGAGGCCAGAGCCACAGATGGGCGTGCCCAGTCTAAGTTCCAGTGTGAAAAAGAGCTTAAAAGCATTAAGCTGTTTTTCATCTTGGATTCCTTGCTCGGATGAGCTTTTCTAGATCATCCCCTTGGAAAAGGCTGACTCAGCTTCACTTGAGAATCACTGCCTACCTTTTCTGAATTAGAGGGAAAGCCATCAATCACCTGCACAATACAGCAGTAATTGAAGTTGTTTCAAAAGTACATGCTTGAACACTGTTATCATGAAATAAATATTTCTGGGAACAGCTGCACACTTATGAGTAATTGCTAAATTGACATGTAATTATATGGCGAAGAGTCTTTTTCTCTAACTTAAATACCTTTCTTCCAAGTCCTATAAAGGGAAAGGTATTTAATTATACATTTACTTGCTTGTTATTTTCAAAGGGCCAATCCACTGGGAACCTATTCAGTGTAGAATGATGCTGGAGGAAGGGTATCTAATAGGATTTTAATTTTTTTTTTAATATTATAAGGAACATTTGACCATTTAGCCAGATTTTTTTGCTTTGAGAAATTGTTCAAAAGATGGAACTGACACCCATCACACTTGAGAGAAATGACTACATCAAATGAGAGAGCAGTGGGAAAGATCCAAGGTTTAAAATAGGTAATTTTGTTTTACACAGAAGTTTCCAATTGGCTATGAATAAGACTTAATGTGATTATCTCTTAAGATTTTAATCTCTTCACTATCCGTCTCTCTGTGTTTCTTAGAGCCGATGGATAACAAAAGCCTGCTACCAAGCCAGACAGAAAATCAGCCTCCCACCAGCTGGTTCTACTCCACTGGCATAGGACCCTTCTGTAGCACCAGCCCAGACCCCAGGCAGCCCTGGCTCCCCAAATCCTCTTTGGAGTGTGGAGCCAAGAGTTGCTGAGGGCATTTGGACAACAGTTGTCCCTGCCCCCATTTTAAAACTCTGAAAGGACGAGGACCTCCTCGGTTTGACTCCTTCCCACACCTGACTCCACCGGCCCCTGCAAACCCCACCAGAGTCAGCTAGGTTGCCAAGCAACTTACAGGATGTCTGTTGCTGGCAGCTGGGGGGGGGGAGGGAAATGCATCTTCAGGTTTTGCATTTTTGCAGCATCCACTTTACCACCACTTAATAAGGGTACATACAGTATGATGAAAAAGGCCCTCGTTCAATGGTGGCAGGAAAAGATTGCTGCTGCCAAGAGGTGCAGACCTGGATCGATCCGAGAGAGGGTGGAACTCTTGTCAGAAAATCCAGTCTTGATCCCTCTAATTGTCAATTCAGCAAGTACCCTATTTAATTACTTGATTTATATGCCATTTTTCTCTTTTCACCGAACTCCTGTTCTGCTTCAGCTGAATGACAAGATAAAAAACTGTCGGAGCCCCAGTTCACTGTTCACAAGCACTGGACCCCACAGGATTTAGGTTAGCCTGGCGTTCTCTCTCCACTATTTCACAGGGCTACTCTTTATTGGACTGCCTGGTGGTGAAACCAGGGGCTTTTGGTAGCATTTGTTCAGCTGCTGTACCGACACACAAACTGTCACTCAGAATCACTTGCCTCAGTTGTTTCATCTTTGGGTATGCCACTGAAGCAACAAAATCAGGAAGATGCAGTTTGATTTAAAAATCTGCTTAATAACTGTCATGATTTCTCAATTTATGCCCACATTCTTTCTTTTAATGGAGTAATGGAGTTTGACTCCTGGGGTCCACAGCCAAGGGCCCAGACTGCTCAATGGGCCAAGCAGCAGTTCTTCAACCTGCAGAGCTGGCGAGCTGGTCAGAGAAGAGGGGCCTGAAAAGTGGGCAATGCAAAACCCCCTCAGCCCCTTCCGAGATGGATTCTCTGTACATGCCTATTATTAAACTGCTTAACAGAATTGGCTGGTCTGTGGAAACATCAAACACAGAGATACCGGTATGTTTATATTTTGCTAAACATTTCCAGCTGTTTATTTTGCATATTCTGAATTATTTATTTCTCAATTTCCTACTGATTAGTGCTTTGCGAAGAGCTGCTCATTTTGTTTGTAATAAGGACCAGAGGAATTTGGTCTTTATTACAAAAGAAATGAGCAGCTCTTTGCAAAGCACTAAGTACAAGGAAAACTTGGCTTTACATGGAGTTCAAAGAGGGCTTGACTATTTTACCACCAAACTGTGATTAAGACTTTTTGCATGCATTTTCACAAGCACAGGCATACACAAAAGGAGCAACAGCAGCATATTTGCCTGCCTCAGGTGAACTGGCTCCTTTCCAGGACGCAAACTGACCTGGGAGCTAAGCTACCCTGTATTTTATCACATAGTGGATCTCAGGAGATCCTATCCCTATGCTTACAATTTGTAAGTTTTTAGGTAAGTCAACCTCCTTGTATAAGAACATATGACAAACATCATGCTGAATTGGGCTCAAGTGGGCTGCCCAGTCACTCACAGCATCACTCAGCCAAATGTCCTCATGACAAGCTCAGAAGAACTGGTGGCTTCCCCTTTTTGTTACTTGGGAGAAATCGCTTTGCGTGGAAGTTCCCTTCTGGTCTTATAAAAAAGGCAATCGCCCGTAGGAGTGACCTGATCCCACCTTTTCTTTTGGTCATTTTAAATCTTCAGCTATTCCAACATCTTTGAGTGACCCCAACCACAAGGTATAAAATGTGCTTTGTAAAACCTGCTTCATGTTGCTGGGGGCTGTTTATCTCCCACACTCTCCGGAGAAATAGAAGCTGTTGTGGGAAACATTCAAAGCTCCTTATTACAAGAACAACAATGGCACAATTTATTCCAATGGAGCAAAGCTTTCTTCCCCAGATGATGTTAATTTCCACTTTAACACTAAGCTGTAACAGTTTTTTTTTTCCTTTTAGCACCTTGAAATAATGTATCTGCAGGCATACCTGTTATTTCAAGTCCTGCCATGAACCAGTTCTAGGAGATGGGCTGTTTCTGGAACTGCGCAGTTGTCAGCGTGACAGGCTGTTCCTAACTGCAAACAGTTCAGCAGCTTTGCTAGAAGTGCTTGCAAGCAAGGGGAGTGGAGGTTACTCTTAGGAGTTTCTAGGAAAAAAACCCTTATTTTTAAAGAATTAGAAAGCTGCTTCCAACAGGGCAATTTAAATTAGAGGCATACAGCTCTCAGGGCATTGGAGAGGTGAATCTTTCCTTCCATTTCACCCATTTTTCCTGCAGTCGGTCTGAGTGTGAGCAATTAAGGTCTGCAACAAGGATGAGAGGAACAATCTTTTTCTCAAAAGGCTACTCAACCCCAAAGTCCCCATTTGAAAAAGGCAATCTGCATAGGGCACTGAGTCTGCCCATGAATTTATCAAGTTAGCTCCCTCGCCTTGTTTTTTTTAAGAGTAAGACAGGAGGCTGATCTCACACAAGTTTGGGATCCTGCAAGATCTTGATGTCTTTGTCCTTTTGAAATAGAAGAGAAAGGAAAATGGTGGGGGAGGGGGCTGGAGCCCAGCTGCCCAAGCAGGTGGGGAAGACCAAGAAAGGCTGGGATGACAGAAAGTAGCCTAAGGGATGGGTGAGAGTTGGCAGAGAAAAACTCACAAACTGATCAGTCACGCTCACCTTGTCCACCACTTTGTAAAACCTCAATTGGGGCAGAAAGGTTGGCGAAGGAAATAAAGGCTACGCAAAGATTTTGAGCATTTTTCAAGGACAATCTTTCTGTCACCTCAGAAAGATGCACCATCAAGCCAGACGTACAAAGCTGCGTCTATATCCTAGCTGAGCGTTTATGAGTCACGCTAGACACCACATCACTTCTACTGAGAGCAGCAAAAGGCCATTTCTGCACAGAATGCATGTCCTTTAAAGCAGTATGTGATCGGAGCAAACTTTATCACTTCAGTAAATAATTTACACATGACAATATTTCTTAACAGTGCACTGAGAAATTATTTCTACAAGCTTAATCCATTGCAATTTCAGTAGTACTCATTGCGCAAGTTATTGGCAGTGTGTGCGCATGTGTGCAACTAGGTGCGTGCATGTGTGTTTTTTGCTCTTGATATTCCCAATGGACACAGTAGCACTTACTTGACTGACATGGAATAATAGCCGGATGCAATGCAGGTGAGATGAATTTCAGATTTCTGACCCACCTGAGACTATTGCAGAATTGGGGTTTCATATTTCCCTTTCGATAGCAGGTCAGAAGAGACTCGGCAGTCTACCTGAGAGGGAACTTTTCAATCTCGAAAATGGGCCGAGCAGCAAGGAACTTGCAGACCAATTGCTGCCTAATCTGGCACCTTCTAATGGTTTTGTATCACACCTGCCCTCTTTTCTCATTGTAGGCGACAAGTTGGGTACTGATCTATGCAATTCAGAACCTGCCCTAATTCAAGATGCTTGGTGCAGACACCCATCCGGCGTGTCCCCAGGACTCACCAAACACCCTGAGTTCCCTTTTCAAACCTCATTCACTCACCCATTTGCTTTTGTCCATGGTTTCAGGGGGGCTGCTCAGAGGTCATCTCTGGAAGACTGCACCCTTCCTGCGACCCTCCAGGATGGCAACTACTCTCTGCCCCATCTCTGGATGTGCTGCCCAACAGTACCCACCTGATTCATCAAGGCCTTTGGGGTCACCCTGTTGCAGGTAAAGGAGGCTGATGGTGCTGGAAGGCCGCCTGGTCAGATTACCCCACAATAAATGTCAGGCTTCTTTGGCAGCTGCAGCTGCAGTGTGTCATTCTGCTTCTAAAGTTCAGAGCAACTTTCCTAGGAAAGATGTGGCCATTTAACAAGTGTAAAAGGCACCCCTGTTCCCCACGGTTGCAAGCCCCCTCCTGCTTCAGGACCACCCATGGGCCTTCATGTAGCCCTTGGGCGGCACTCCATGGCTTTCTGCCTTCGTGCAAGAGCAACAGGCTAGAAGTGGCTAATGGTGAGGTGAAATGCACCCTCTCCCTCCCACATGGAACTTAACAGGCCCGAAGGTTTCTCTCCGGCGTGGCTGCACCTGTGGATCCACAGAGGCTGCTGAAAGAGGGAAGATGCCTCAGGTGCTCCTTGTCTTCCCCAAGGGCTCCACAAGACAGCTCCAAGAGGAGCACCGTTCCAAGCCGGGCTACTCTCTGGGGCATTTTTGAAAGATGGACCATTGCCGGGGAAGCTTCCTCTATTATCCTCATGATGTCACGAGATCGGAGGGGGCAGCAGAAGGCGAGAAGAGGAAGGGGAGAAGAGGAGAGAAGAAGAGGCAGGGTGCGCGAGGAAAGGGAAGACCTCAGGATTCTGCCTTCTCTTTCTTTTTGCTTTTTTTCAGAAAGGAGGGGGCCCGGAATTTCTTCTTCTTCTTGGAGGGAGACTTGGAAGGGGACCCTTCAGGGCTCACAGGCCCACTGGTGACCGACTTGGTTTTGTCCTTTGGGCCCTCAGTGGTGTCTGCATTGGTGGTCAGCTGGCTGATCCCTTTGCTGAGGTGCTCTTCAACTGTTTGGTCGTCTTCTTTCCCGTTGACCACTACCGCCTCCGGCTCGGCCTTGTCGGCTGAGGCAAGATCAGTAGGTTTCTTCCCGCCTTGAGAAGAGAAAGAAAGCAGTGTTGAGCGTTTACACTGAGAACCCAGCACTGTAAGCCCCAAAGGCCGAGGCGAGAGAGGCCAATCACACGCACACGCCCCTACCACCCAGCGGGTGATGGGAAAGGAGCCCAGCATAAAGGGTGAGGGGCTGTTTGGGGGATCCTGGGGCCAAAGAGAGGGATCAACAAAGCTGCTAGAACCGGAATCAAGATGTCTGCAAGAGCACCCACTGTTCCAATTGGGCTGTGTGTGGCCACTTCCCTGGGTGGGGGAGAAGGGCCAAACTCCCCCTGGGGGGCTGAAATCCTGCAGGATGCTCACACAGTGAAAGTCCTGCATTACCTCCTAAGGCCGCAGATGCTTCTGACCTCTGGCAGATGAAGCTGAGCCTCTTTCTAAGACCCCCTCTCTCTATTCTTGCCACTTAGGGAACTGCCCTGGGCTGGGACGCAGCTGGTGGCTGACATTTTCAGCATTTCTGCCTGCAGAATCTCTTCCTCCCAACGTATCTCCTGGGGAGGGCTGGATTTGGTTTTGTGGGCTGTTGGGAGGCTGCATTTGCAAAACAGGGATGTACAGGACCGTGAATTAAGTAGCACCTAGATCACAAACTAGATGTGATTTAAATCAAATCCAGTGAAAACTTCCATCATAAAAATCTCACTCTGTCATGAAACATTAGAACTTGGCAGCCATTTTTGCTATGCCCATAGCTGGGGTGGAGGAGGGAGGGGGAGAATGCCACTGTGCATTCTTGAGGCCTCAAGTTGTGCATGGGATGTCACTCGCATTCCTAAGGGTTCATGCTGCTGTAAGTTCACTGGATCAGCATACCTGACACGGAAGTGAATATCCCCCTGTTAATGGGGGCTGAAAGACTGCTTTGCTTGGAACCATCTGCTCAGGTGCGAGCAGATGCCAGATCTTAACTGGGGCTTCTACACTTGAAGCTTCAGAGCTACGGAATAGCAACTGGTTTCTACCTAGGACTACAGAGAGGTTCCATGGATTACTGATGGCCCACAGAGCAATGGTGCATACTGCAAACATTCAGGAAGCTTGCACAATTCAGAGAGAACGTATCTCTCCCCCTCCACATCAGGCTCTCCATCACTCAATTTAGGAAGGAAACTATCTCAAGAGATCTTCAACGGGCTCCGGATAGAACCAGGGTGCTGTTCCAGGCGTCCTTGAACTGGGGAGCTTCTGAAGCTGCTTCTTTCCCCCTCCAATAGTCATGGAACTGCATAAGCATTTTTTAAAAGGAAAATAAACATCTGGAAAGAGCACCCATATCAAGTAACACGTTCTTACAGGAAGAGTATCCCGATGATACTGTCAGATCAATTTTCCTTAACCTTCCAGATATTTGAGGATTTCAATCGGGTTAACTAGGAATTCTAGAAATTGCACACTCAGCCTCCTGGAGGATCTGTGCTGGGGAATATTACACGAGTTCACTTGGTACTAACTCCTTCCTCTGGCTGTAGAACTCCCGAACATGGAAGGCTGTCCTCTCCCCAAACCTTTTGCAAGCTTCCTGCATGCCAAGCTAAGTCACTTCCTGTGATCATCATGCCCCCCCCCCATCTATGTTTTCCCACACAGCCGTTCCTGCTCCAGCAACAGGCGGCCTTACTCGGCCCAAAGACGGCCGGCCCAGCGCACCCCCCTCCCTCCCCGTGGAGAGAGCTGGAAAGGGAGAAAGCAGCCTCTCTATACTTACTAAAGTGACAAGTATTCAGAACCAGAGGCAACTCCTTGGATGAAAGCAACACATGGAAAGAGAAAGGGAGACATTGTGGAGATAAACACGCCAAACACAATGCGGCAGAATGAGACAATGGCAAAGAGAAAGGGGGAGAGAGACACACACATACACACAGTAGCACAACTCCTGCAGCCTAAAGGAGCCACACAGCCCATGGCTTTCTAGGGTCACAGGCCCAACTCCGAGGAAGGAATTAGTTTTCAAAATTTCTTCTGAAGGACAAAATAATTTGACAAACCTCTCTTAGGTGGCGCCCTTGTACTCCTTTGGTGGCAGAGGCTTGCTTGGGCATTTGGGGACTGCTTCTCTAGCCAGAGACTGTCCTCCCTGCCGCAAATAATCCCAAGGGAGACTATGCAGGGATATCCCTCCACTGAAGCTTCATTCTGAGCTCTGGGCCCGAGAGAGGCTGAAGAACTCCTCCTCCTCCTCCATATAGTGACATACGAGTCAGGAGTCTGAAGCATTTCAAAGCAGGGTTTCTCAAACCTGACATCTTTAAGATGTATAGACTTCAACTCCCAGAATTCCCCAGCTAGAATTCTGGGAGTTGAAGTCCACATATCTTAAAGTTGCCAAGTTTGAGAAACGCCGTTTTACAGACTGAATGCAGAGTTGGTGGCATGACCCATCCTCAGTTGAAGCAACCTGGAATTAAGGAGAAACTTCCTGACAGTGAACAGCTGGCCTACAAGTTTAAGAAATTAAAATTATATTTTATTTTTGGAACAAACAACAAATGTATGAAAAGAACTCTGATTTTAGAACATTACAAACAAACTAAGGGTCCATATAAATTTGAAATAAATTTTTGGAATTAATTATAAAAAATCCTTCCCTTGGGAAAATGCTTTTGTTTTGATTAAAAAATATTATAAGGCAATACCTTAAAAATTGGATAGTACGGGAAACAAAAGATTACACTCTTTAGAACAGAGTGCTATGCTCGACTTACAAATACAAAATGAAGTAAAATATTTTAACATCAGACATTTGAATAATAATTTTAAACAATGGATCCAGAAATTAATTTTAAGAATGTCTGCCATTATAGCTAGACCGTGTCTAGAAGATAATATAGAAGAGGAATAAGTTTTATCAGAAAAGATTGAGACAGATGTGAAAGTGGATTTACAAATGACAGACTACAAGAACGACATGGAAAAAGAAGTTACACTGGACATACAAGAGAAACTGGACGATGTCTTCATTAGTAAAAGGGATATACAAATAAACTAAAAGAGTGATTTGGATAATTTTCCTGTTTTAGATTTACAATAGTGGCTTGTTAAAGTTTTGAAGAAGGGAAAAAGAAAAAATGAAATCAAGATTGATAGAAGTAAAAGGAAGAAATATAAAATTGATTTATCTGATCTAGGTTAAAATAGATAAGTTATTATTTCTGGACTTTTGCCGACCAGGACTGAATGACAAGGTTTTGAAGGTTTGTTTAGATAAGAGATGGGATATGGGAAGAAGAGGTTATTTGTTGTATTTTAAGAGAAGGAAGGAAGTTACTAAAATTGTTTATCTTTGTTATGATGAAAGGGGAACATTTCTTTATATATTTCTTTTTTTCTTTCATGTATTTTTATGTCTTTATTTTTTATTTTCTGCACTATTTTTCTTATTTTTTATTTTACTTTTATGCTTGTATTAGTTTTTATTGTTTTATTGACTTTTCTGATACACCGAAGGACACCTCTGATTCCCTCTCAATCAGTTGTGATCATCTATTATGCCAGGTGATCCAGCTGGCAATCATTAAATGGGGCTCCTAAGGCCTTATTCTGTTTGCAGTGGTGACCAGACAGGAGTTCTCTGTCCTCTACATCTAGTCAGCTGTCGGGCCAATATAATCTCTCTCTTTATGCTTTTTAAAAATCCCATCCAAGCTGCTGGCCACCCCTCATCTGGTGTCCAATTGCTGCAGAGATCATGATGGATGGCACGAGGATGTTTTGGTCCCAAAGGTGCCCCTACCTTCTGGAGCTTTGGAGGGGGACCTGGCAGGGCTCCTTGCCCCAGGCTTTGTGGGGCTCTGTTCGGGTGGAGTGATGGTGGATTCTTCAGGGGATGTCACTCCCTCCTCTGGACTGCTGTCCTTCTTTTCACCTGGGAGGAGATGGTGGAAGAGGATATGCAACTCAAGACTAGAAACAAAGACAGTGGAGAAACAGTCGTCTCTCCCAGGTTTCTACCCACCAACTTTTGGGACACCCTAAAAATATTCCCTGGTTTCTCTGAGCTGATGGTGAGCTCAGTTCTCCCTTACTGCATTCACTGCAGTCCTTCGGGCTTCTCAAGCCTGCAGCCTCAGTAGCAATGACTGCACCAGGACATTTACCGTCAAGTCCCAGCTTCTTCCTTTCCACCTCTTTCTTGTACTCCTCCAGTTCCTGATCGGTTAGCTGGCTGAAGGGGTTGGGAGACTCGGGCTCAAGAGAGGCCTCCACACGGGAGTCATCCTTCATCTCTCCATCAGCCAAATGACTCTCGGTAGACTGCAGCAATACAGAAATCGTGCATAACTGTCACCTGGCAGTTTTCATTCCACAACTCCCCACAATTAAGTCTGAAACCAACTGTCTAACGGCGTCTGTGATGTGTTTGTGTGGCTGGCTGGTTGTGTGCACACAATGGTGAAAGCAAATGAGGCCTGCTGAATTTTTTAAAAAATAGGGCTTGTGAGGCTAATTACAAGGATGAAAATGGAGTTCACTGAGCAAAGGGCCAAAGGAAAAGGAGGGGCAGCAGAGGGGGCCAAGACGCCTGGCAAAGCAAGAGCCAAGCAGTAGGAAGCCAGAGGCTCACACCTTCCAGGACTGTCTGGTTGGCACGAGGAAAGTGCATGATGGAGCCTCCCCTCTTGGACCCAGAGCCGAGGGCTGAACTTCCCGCCAGGGTCTCTCCAGCCTGCCTGTTCATGGCCTCCGCTCCCCAGAGTGGGGGCTGAAGAGCGCTGCGAGAGAGCAGCACAGGCACAGGCTGGGAACCACCAAGCCTGGTGCCCCTGATGCCAGTGCCAGCCTGCGATGCCTACCGGGCTCCTGCTCTGCTCTGCGATCACGCTAGCCAGCAGCTGGGACTGGGGTCCGGCCGATTTCACTTCCTGGCGGTTCTGTTCTCGGATCTGCAGGGAGATAGACGGGCCTGTCATGGCAGAGAAGCTGACAGGAACAGCCCTTCCACGAAAGGCAAGGAGGGAGAAGGCAGATGCCACCAGCGGGCAGAAGGAGGTTGCTGCCCGTCCTCCAGATAGGGAAAGCCACTCATGCCAAGGAAATGGGGATAGGGGGAGAATGGGTCTGCCTGATGCCGCAGGAGAGACCACCTCCAAACCATCAACAAGTCTCTCTGGCCCCTGCTTAGCAGCCTTCCGAGGCAAAGACAGAGGCAGGGTGTTTCCCCCCCCCCCGTAAAGAGTTTACCTCCAGAAGAAGAGAAGGGAAAATGGTGGGGGGGGGGACAGATTGTTCCCATCACTGCAAGGCAAACAAGAGCTGCTCTAATGGAGCATCCAGGCAGCAACACATGGCACCCTGTGCAGGCACCATCATTCCGAGGATGTCGCCTCCCTCGGCTGCAACATGGTGCCATGACGCAAATGACATGTGTCCTTTGCTCTGTGATGTGTGTGACATGATCCTCCTTTCTCTCTTCACAGTTGCTGGGCAGAGGTTGTGACAGCAGAGGGCAGAAAATAAAGCCCAACTCCAAGATGCATTTGCCGGCCGCAAAACAGAGCATAGAATCCCAGGGCTGGGAGACCTTGGAGAGCTTCTGATCCAAACCAAAGCAGGAGAAAAGTCTGACTGTGATGCAAATTCCAGAACTGAGAGGCACATTTAACTGGTCGGTGTCCGACCCGCTTCATAAAGGCCACCTCCCAGCAGGTAACGCTAGGGATGGACCCCTCTGGCCTGCTTGTCAGGAACCCGAGAGGAAGGAAGGATCAAGTCACCTGGGGGCCTTCATGGCTGGGGGGGGGGAGCACGGGCAGACCTCACCGCTACAACACCAGCAACTGACCTGCCACATCAGCCAGAGTCTCTTCTCTTTCTAGGCAGCCCTGAGTGGAGCTGCTCTAAAAGCAACCCCCTCCAGGGCAGAGACCCGAGGAGGGATGGCTTCAGACAGCAACCGGAGGAGCCAAACCTTGATGTACCTTGTTCCTCATTTCCAAGACTTCTTGTGGGTCTGTGTAGAGAGGCACAAACTGGTTTGGGTTTTCAATTCGGATTGGCATGCCACTGCTGGATTTCTCCACGTCATCCGCTTTCATCCACTAGAGAGCAGGGTGGGGGGAGGGGGGAAGCAAACAAAGGCTGTCTGAAGAGGCCTCCCTGGAGCAGCCATGGGAACCCACTTACCTTGCTGTCCAAAATCCACTTGCTGGATTTTGGACAGCAAGCCAGTCGAGTCGGCTTCGGCCTTAGCTCCACAAAGCAGCCGACCCAGCAACCCTCGATGGGAAAGGGCGGTGGAGCTTGAGAAAGAAGGGAAGGCCTTTTACCCACCCAGACAATGCTCAGGGCTACTTAACCTGGTCCCGCAACTATCAGTGTGGAAATCAGGTCAAATCTAATTAGAAATAATTTTTGCTAAATGTTTTGATAACAAGGCAGGTTCTACAACTGCATCGGTAACTGCAATAGGAAAATGCCAACTTTTTGTTTGCATAGATCAGTCAAGGCAGGAACTGCCAGCTGAATCTTGCCCCCCTTGTCCCCCTTGCCTTCCAGCTTTCTGGCCTTCTATTCAGCTTCTCTGGTCCCTGGGGAGTGGTCCTCTGTGGCCCCCATGCAGCAGCCTCTGACTCTGCTATGTCCCAATTCTCTGCCCACTCAGCCACCATGGCTGCTCGACTCTAGCTTTTCCTTCCAAGGCATCTCAGCCACAAATCTCAGCCAATCCTAAGGTTTCCCCAGCTGGGAACATGATCTAATCTGGAAGCCCACAAGCAGGAAGGCAGGGAACCGAGTTCTCATCTGCTTCGGCTCCTCATCTATGATGCCACAACTGCCTGGGATGGGCTTTGTTTGAAGGCAGGCGCCATCCAGCAATCTTGCAAACGCCATTTATTATCCAGGGATCCCCTCTACAGTAAGTGACTTCTGGATCTCCAGAATGAGCCTGCTTCTGGGCAGACAGCTAATGTCTGTGGCAGCAGTGAAGGACCTGTCAGACCAAGAGGGAGATACCTCTACCAACTCCAATTTCTAAACTTTCCCGGTTCCCCAGGCCTGTTCTTTGCCATCAAGATGACTTTGCCAAGTCCTGAGATCCCATTGGCGCCATGCTGGAGGTGCTCTCATCTCTGCTGGCTTTTTGCCTTCCAGGTCTCCATTTTCCTGGACATTTTGCCAATCTGCACTACTGCACTGCTCCTAAATCTACTCCCTGCAAGGTGAATCCGTTGTCCGTCTCTCCCCAATTTCTACAGTCACCAAAAGGATGGGCGTTCTTTCTGCTATCCTTCTCTGCCTTGTGCACATGCAAGAAGGCGCCTACTACACAGCCAGGCTCGCATTGCTGCGGCAGCAGACAGGCTCCTCTCTCTTCTAACCGTGGCTTTGGCACCGCCTTGGCTGTCCTCGGCCACCTTCACACGCAGGTAGGTGTTGGGGGTGTTCAGCCAGCGGGTCTTTTCTTTCTGTTGTTTCTGGGCGTGTTGCCGGAGGGTGAAGATGGGGCCTGCCTCCTCTTCGAAGACAAAGGCAGTGACGGTGGCCGGGATCTCCACCTCACTCTTGTGCCTTGTCTTCTCCTGGACAAAAGGGTAACGGTAAGCATAGCCAGTCCGGTAGCCCTGGGAAGGAGAAAGAGGGGGGTCCTTGAAGACATGGCACATTGCTACTTGTACAAAGAGGCTGCCCGCCTTCTGCTCCCCTGCCTGGGATCCGGCTCTTGCAAATTCCAGCATCTGGAATGGGAGTCTAAGCCCTGAAAGGCCTTCTGTTTGTAAACATTCTTGGGCTTGGATTCTACACATACACACCTGTGCATTTGTGGGTGTGTGTGCGACATTTCTGAAAACATGACTTTATGACCAATGCCCATATTTACAATCTTTGCAGTGACCCTTGGTCACATGATCACCTTTACAGTCAGTACGCATTGTCCTTTACCTGACCTGCTGCTTTGCTTCCCCCCCCCCCAGCAGAATGGAGAAATTAGTAGAAGGCAAGCACACAAAAAGAAATATATTTTGAAAGCAACATGGTGGCACTGGCAGCCTCAAGTGTGCCACACAAACAAACCAGTGTTATTCTCCATGGTATGCTCTGCTTATTTTCTTCTCTAATTTCTCCACTCTACAAAGGGGAGGGGGGGGGAAATTCTGTAAGCAACTTGTCTTATGCCTTACTTGTATTTTTCTTCCCCCTCTCCTCACAGAGAGATTGGAGAAGATGGGATTATAAGAGAGTAAGGATGCACACAATGGGGAATCCTTGAGCTGCCAGCACAAGCATGTTCCTTTCAATGTCTATTTCCCATTGTGTGCCTACTTACTCTCTTGTAATCCCTTCCTTTCCTTTCCAAATGTAAATACAAACATTGATTTCCTTCTTATTATTCCAGCAGCAGAGTCAGCATTTCAAAAGGCGGGGGGGGGGAGGAGAACACACTTGTAGGAATGTGATTTTTTAGTTAGCAACTGGTTTGTTTAATAAGAGTTGCAGGTCCCAAATTAAAGTCACTGAATGAGGACTACTTGTATCGATTTTGCCTTACAAAACTCTTTCAATTGTTAAAACGCTACTGAAAAGAAAAAGGATTGAGGATGGGATAGGCTGGGCTCTGGAAAACGGCATGGAGTTCTGAACTGAACACAGCAATAATCTACCAAGGGTGTTTTATGGGGAGATTGTGGGTTTAATGTGGTCCCTCAATGGTTCAGATGTCAGCTTTTTTTTTTAAGTAGCCCATGTCTGGTGGGCCAGCAGAAGCATTGCGAAACCCACCTGCCCAAGCTTGCCTCTTTCCCTGCAAAGACCCACTTTGGTTTACAAACATCTACCTGAAGGAATGCCAACTTTATGGCAAGTAAGGGGACGTATTGGGGGGGAGCTTCTCTGCTTGCCAACATACTAGATTGTCCAGCATCCTCATTAGTGCTTCAAATTCATGCTCTCCCAAGCGGCTCTTCTGCATGGGCCCAAAGGTGCTGCCAGCCCATCGGACCAGACCCACATCGTGAGGCCTGTGTTTCTCCGCCTCCAAGAGGATGAGATGCTCAGGCCCACCAGCACTAGACAAGGCAGCAACCTGGAGGAGGCAGAGGGCAAAAGAGAAGTTGAGAAGCACAGGAGGAAACAACGGGGGGCCCCTGAGATTACCAAGTGGAGCAGAGTGTAGAAGGTCGTCTGAACAAGCCTCGCTTTCTGTGCATCGCCTCCTGACATCCCCAGCCGTGGTTTGCAGACTCCGCTCATGTTTCAAAACCTCTTTTGGTCAGTGACAACATTGGAGGTCTTTCCCCATAAGCAAATAAGGGCTTCTGCTCCAAGTCATGTGCCTGCTTTAAAACACTTTTTCATCAAGAAAAACAGGCCCCTTTCTGCATTATTTTATAATTATGAAATGAAATATATTCCTGCAAAATGCAGAGAAGTTAAGGTGATGAGTTTGCATGATTACATTCTAGCTGAGCAAATCAAACTCCTAGGAAGGGTTTTCTGGAAAGGGTTTCTGAGCTGCCCAGTCTAGGTCAACCAGAGTGTTAGTAAGCATGTTGGCATGGAACATCCCGGCAGTATTGGGAGGGGAGGGGAGGGGAGGGGAGGGGAGGGGAGGAAGGAAGGAAGGAAGGAAGGAAGGAAGGAAGGAAGGAAGGAAGGAAGGAAGGAAGGAAGGAAGGAAGGAAGGAAGGAAGGAAGGAAGGAAGGACAATCTTGTCATTTATAATGGAGGAAATCCACGCTTGGGCAAGGAGACTTGATTCTGGGGCAGTTGAATGTTACTGTCAAGATGGGAATGTCACCCAAAATACCATGTTAGGAAAATCTTTCCCTCAACTAATTGACACACATCTATTCCCCCCCTCCCTCCAAGCAAGTGGTCATTATTGTGTTTCTAATCCTAAGGAGAAGGGAGACAGGAAGAAAATTCTACTGAAGAATATTATTTTTGCTGGCATCTCCATCTGAATGGAATTATGTCATTTCCACTTAGGAACATTTCCTTCTGCCCACTTCTAGAGAAGGAACCTGGCCTGCGATGAAGCGCAAGGCAGGAGGCATGTGCCTTATTTTGTTGTTCTGGAGCTCACCTGGACTTCACAGGCAGCCTGCAAATGGAAGACCTTGTAGAACGCTTCCTCCACTGTGTCTCCCAGGGTCACCAGGCCATGATTCCGGAGCACCAAAACCTGCCCAAAGAAATGGCAAGAAACAGGTTCTGATATAAACAGCTAAAGAATATGACATCTTTATCTGGCCCCTTGTGAGTTCTCCTCAATTCTGAACCACTCTTACATTCTAATCAAGGAAGTATAAATCCCACAGGCCAGTTTGGGCAGAGATTTAGTTGGAATCCAAGATTACATCAGAACTCAACCCACACCTCTCAGGCCTAACCTTGCAGGTGGGTCCAAGACATTTCTGCAACTCAATTCTGTCTGCCTCTCCCTCCATTTCACCATTGAAGTCAAAATACACCATGTCACCTGCCAGCAGTGCATCGTGGGAAATTGGCAAGAGGCCTTGTTTCATTGCAGAGACCTGCAAAGGAAGAAAGCAAAGCTCTCCATGTTTCAGCTATGCATAAAAAACTCTCTCCATGCTCTCCATGCCTTTCCAGTTCAAACAGGAAACTTTCTAGAATGAAACTGTCCCCCTTTTTTCACTTTATAATACTCTGCAAGATGCAAACAGAACCGTTGACCAAACTGACTTAGAGTTGTGAACCTTCCATGCCTGGAGTGCGGCTAACTAAGGAAAGCTGCCCTACAGAGATGGGCCAGTGAAGGATGCCTCCCTCCATAGGCACCCCACAGCCGCTTCCTGTGGGAAGGAAAGCAAGAACAAGGTGCCTTCACTTCCCCTCCATGTCCCACTGTGTACGGCTCCTTCCCAGAATGCTTCTCCTCCCTCCTGGATTTTCAGCTTGTTTCCCTTCCAGGTTCATGGCTTGGTGACTTCACAGGTGCTCCTATTACGTCTTTTCCTTTGGGCTCTGCAGGGCACCCTATGCAAAGGACTTCCAGGCCAGCTCTGGGAGGACATCAAAATCTAGGCTCACATACTGAATTACATCTGGTTTGTTTAGCCTTTGCTAACTATCATAGCAAACTCAGCCCAAACAAAACAGCCCTGCAGCGTGACCCAGTCCGTGACCCGTCCAACAACTGCGAGAGTTGCATCCAGAGGGCTGGAGGAGTCCAGAGGTGAATGGAAATGGGATAGTGGGATCATCTCCGAGGAGATGCCTGTCTCCTCCATCCATCAAACCGAAGCTCTGTTGTGTCTCAGCATTCTGCTAGAAAGATGGACACCTGTTCCCCACCGCCGCCCTTACTGCAGTTGTGGCTGGTGTGTGCAGATGGATGATGCATCTCACATCAGGCCGAGCTGCATAGATGGCCGAGTGCAGGCTGAATCCTTGGGTGTCCACCGAAAAGCTGCTGCTGCCTTGCTCCACCACCTTCCCCAGGATGTTCACTTTAATCTGAGAAGGAAAAAGAGGAGGGTGGGGGGCGTCCAATGAGAAGATGGGCACCTGCCTTGGCTGACTAAGGTGACGTCTCCAGGGAAGAGTTCTTCAGGCGATTGGGAAGCAGCGATGCCTAAAGTGGGCGGAAGATCCTGGGATCCTAAACTCTTCTCAAGCTTACAGAAAAACCAGCCTATGGCCTCTCTGCATCTGCCATTCCTCTGGGCTTGCCGGCCTTCAATAACCTTTGGTGTACCCAGCGTGTCTCCATGGAAACCAGAGTTCCTCCACTTCAGCAGAGGCTATCCCTGCACCTCTGGGTCTGTCTGCTCCCTCTCAGTTACAGAGATGCAATTGCAGAAAAATGTCCCCTTAGGCATCCTCCTCACGGCTCCTCTGTAGGAAGATGCCGCCTCTCCTTGTCTCTATAGGCAATTCTCTTTCAATTATTTTCACTGTATTTTACAGTTTAAGTTTGTTATACCCCACCCAGTTCCCAGGATTGGCAGAGGCTATGCATATGGCACATATACACATACATACATACATATTTGTATATACATTCTGTCTCCTGGAGATAGATGATAAATAGATAGATAGAGATAGAGATAGATAGGATGGATAGATAGATAGATAGATAGATAGATAGATAGATAGATAGATAGAGGTAGATAGGATAGATAGATAGATAGATAGATAGATAGATAGAGGTAGATAGGATAGATAGATAGATAGATAGATAGATAGATAGATAGATAGATAGATAGATAGATAGATAGATAGAGATAGGATAGACAGACAGACAGACAGACAGACAGATAGATAGATAGCAAAAAATGTAAACATGGGCAAACTCCAGGAGACAGTGCAGGACAGGAAAGTCTGGCATGCTGTGGTAGATGGGGTTTGAAGAGTCGGATATGATTTAGTGACTGAACAACAAATACAACTGATAAAAAAAACTGTGTCACAATTTGTATGACTGTGCACCCGTCATCCAAGGGGCAGCCTGTCCATGAAATTCTAGAGGGGATTTTGTCACCCTGTCCTTCTGTTTCATATGAGTAGCTTCATTCTACACAGGCTGCTCTTACAGACTGTTGTAAGCAGGAAAATACAGCTGGTTGCAAAGCTCCAGTCTGCAGTCGCAGGCACAGAGCTGGACCCGAGAGTCCTGCATTCTCACCAAGCTGGATGCTGTAACTTCATGACAGGAAAGGCCTTCGGGACAAACCAGAAAATGTTCCTGTTCTTTGCTGACTCTCAGCTGTGAAAGGAAGGAAGGTTAAGAGCATAAGCAGCGCCCTGCTGGATGGGACCCCTGGACCATTTTGTCCAGCAGTTCTCAGAATGACCAACCAGCTGCCAAAGGAAGCCCACCAACCACCCAGCAGATACTGCCTTTGGGGGCAGCTTCCCTGCCCTCAAGGCTAAAAGCCATTAATCCCCAAAACTTCCAGGAACTGGTTATTCCAAGAAATTCATTCATTCAATTCGCATACTGCAAAACTAATGAAGATTCTAAAAGATAATTGCTTGCTTCAAGCCCAAAATGCTATCTCATTAAAAAAATATGGGAAAAAAACAGTTTTATTTCAATCTACAACAAAGGCTGGCCAGGAGAGAGGAGGATGGGATGACTCACCGTGACTGTGGTGCCACTGAGCTGTGCCCAGCCATAAAGGTCCAGCAGCCGATAAACACTGCTAACTTTGCAGCGCATAAGCCTCTCCCCTTTGGCCAGGGACACAGAGTCAGTGCTATGGAGGTCATTGATGGGTGTCACTGTGGAAAGGTCTGCAAAAGAAAACCAGGCATGGAATTTCCAGAAAATGGAGCGGAGTAACATGAGAAGGCTTTGGGGCTGGAACGCTAACTCAAAGGGCCTGCTCTTCCGTTGTCGCTCAAGCAATGCACCCTTTCTGTCCTGTGCTTGCTTCAAAAATTTAGAGCAGAGATGCAACCAATCGTTTTGCAGATGCTTGCAAAATCCGGGTTGCTCAGAGAGCCTATGCAGAGATTTAAGATTCTTCCTTTTGTTGAAGACAATTTTTCAAACAGTATGTTTCTTTATACTATAAGGCAACATTTCTCAATCTTGGCAACTTTAAGATATGTGGGCTTCCAACTCCCAGAATTCCCTGGCGAGCCTCCCAGCTTCTACCATACAACCCGATTAGCAGCATTCATTTGGCAAAGAAGGCAACTGCAGCGAGAGAGGCTGCCGCTTACAGCACAAGCCAGTAGAGGGTGTGTTGCCCAGAATGCAGACCCCCCTTGCCTGATGGCATCTGTGTCTTCATTGCACCCCACAATCTGCTAGACCTTCAAAAAACAGAAGGAGGCATGTCAACCCTATACATCCCCCTGTAACCTGGAGGTCCAGGAGAAGTCTCGGTATAAAATCCAGGAATTAGCAAAATGAAACTCTAGGAAGAGCAATCCAGCCATAGACATCCCACAAGCTTAAGAGTCACTCTCGAGAAGGTGGGCAGGTGAGGCCAGGTGGGGGAATGGCACAGGTAGAAAATTGGAGCTCAGCTAACATGAGAAGGAGGAGGAGGAGGAGGAGGAGGAGGAGGAGGAGGACCAGCATGCTCAGAAACCCCAGCATGACCAAATACCCTAGATGAGAGACCAACGTACTCAAGGGTGACGGAGGAAAGACGGAGGGAGCCGTGGTGGCCATGAACTCAGCTATCTGCTGAAGGGCCCAGATGTTGGAGTTGTTTCCTTTCTTTATTTGCTCTTGGATGAGACTCTCCAGCTCCTCCCTAAAAGACTGAAGACATCACAGAATAACTCTCCAGACAGCACAAGCAGGCTTCTAAGGGGCGTCTACAATTCAAATGCATTTGTCATATGAACATCCGGATAATCAGGAGGAGAAGCTTTCAAATTCTTCACTGGACCCGACCCCAGGGCAGAGACCTGGGGATTCAGTCTGAAGAGGGAGTTTCAGATCCTGACTGTCAGGGCAGCCCAGAAGATCAGGGAGGTTCACTAATCCCATCATGCTCAGGCCCTCTTCCCTGGGTTCAACTCTCCACTCCCAGCACATACGTGGTTCACCCTCTGAGGGCACCTACTCACGGGGCTCTGCAGAATCAGGGTGACTCTTTTCTTCTGCTCCATCAGGTTGAAGTCTTGGCGCAGGTCTGCAGCCATGTTCCTGATGCGCAGGTACTCCGGGTCGTCTTCTGAGAATCGGTCAAAGTAATGTTGGCTTTGAGCAGGGAGAGCGGAGACTTCCTCGGGAATGGTTTCGTCACTCATTTTTGAACTGATGGTGCACTTTGGGGAGCTGCAGGGAAGCACCAAAAGCCAAATTTGTTATACAGCTGAATATCCAAGCATATCAGTAACCAGGGGGCTGGACTAGAAGACCTGCAAGGTCCCTTTCAGCTCTATTCTATTCTAAACTGAAGCCCTCCTAAACAGCTCAGCTTGCTTGAAGGCTGCTCTGGACCAGCATCCTGTTTCCAACACCCTCCACTTTTGCAGATTACCTAAAGAGAGACCTTTGTATTCTATGCCTCTGGCTGAAATAGGCCCCGGGGTATCGTGCAACTAACAGGATGCAAATGAGAAGCATAAACCAACAAAGCATAGCAAGAACAAGGTTGCCAAAGAATACAAGATCAGAAATAAAACAAAATAGAAATCAATTTTCAGCTTTTTAAAAAAGGTAATTCCTGGAAACTACACATCAATTGATTTCCCCCCCCCCATTATTATTGCCTGTTCACTCATTGTTGGCAGCCTCTGGTCTTCCACACACTTTAATGGGGAAGCAGTATGTAAACAACCACCAGCGCAGACCTGTGTTGGCTGGGTTGCCTCCAGGGACCCAAACTCACCATAAGGCAGATCCAGAAAAAGGCTCTGGGCCTCGTAACCATTTATTTTATGTTGGGCAAGAGAGGGGCAAACAGTTGATATGTCTGAGGAAGAGGATGAGAACTTGTATCCGACGAAGCTAAAAGACCACGAAAAGCCATTTCACATTCATTTGAAAATTCCCTCCTCTGCCCCCTCATGCAGTTGGTACCCTCCAGATGCACCCCGCAATCCCCAGTTCAAGATCCAGATCGATGCATCCACAAGGTACAAGGGTAGGTGTTTGGGTGTCATGGAGTCTGTTTCAGGGATTTTGAAATCCAACAACAAGCTTCTCCCCGTCCTATCACCTGGGGGCCCAGCTGGCGATTCTCCTTGCCCCTACAGGACAGAACTGCTTCTGCTGCCTCCCACTCTCTAAAGATGGAGGCATTGTGCCAGTTGCCTAGTTACCCAGATGTACCAACCATGTAAAAATAAAGACTGGTGTTAAAGTAAGTTGGAAGCTAGAAAAAACTTCCTTCCAGCCAAAGAGAATTTGCTGTGTCTTAAATTGGTTGTATGTCTTCCTGAACTCGCCTTTTTCTAAACCCTTTTTCAAGGTGATATGCTGGGCAAGGGGAGGCCCTTGATGAGGAGGACAGAAAAGAGCAGGCCTGGGGATGGCTCTGGAGGGCCCCCTGCCCCAGGAGAAAGGCCCTGGCCCTTTCTGTTTGCATTCCAGATGAGACTCTGAAGAGCTGACAAAACATCGCTGCAACCCTGAGACAGCCTGGCGTTATCTGCTCTTTCGCACAACAGGCTTTTGATACAGTCTCACTCTATACTTCAAGAGGGACTTGGTGCCCGGCCTCCGTGAGTTACCTCTGTTGAAGCAGAGCATTCAAGTGGGCAAAACTAAGCCTGCACAAATCTTGCCTCTGCTGCCCATCTGAAATCAACAGGAATGTTTCTTGCAAGCCCTTCTGAGAACTGACTGTGCTCCTCCCCAGAAGAAACGGGTGGGTTTTCACCCTTGGGGAGCTTTGGCCAGAGCCAGGGTCTGGCCTGAGGTTCCGGCTGAAGAACCCCAGGAGAGAACATGAAGGAAGACATGAAAGCCAGACGTCTACTGGTCTTTGATGGCTTCTGCCTTTCCCTTTCCAGTCAATGAGATTTTTCTCCTCATGTTTGCAAAATTAGCTGTAAATATCTAAAGATGGTACAAGTTACATCTGGGGCAATTCAAAGCAAATATATGCTTTGATTCATTATACTCGCTTGGCCTACTGCGAGAGGATTTGCTGCGGATTCTTAATGGCACTTCAGGCAGGAAACAGAGAGCTGATGTTGATCCTAGAGCTACCGGCATTATTGCAAAGCGAGTGAAGAGACTATGGATTGCGAGTGAAATTTAAGAAAAATAAAATGTCCTCTGCTTGGATCCTGATTGCCTGTCAATCTGGGAAGGGGAAAATGGGATGAAACGAAGGGCTCAGTTCTGCAACACCAAAACCATCAAAGAGTTCAAGATATAATCCACCTGGCATAAGGGAGGTTATTTCATGCAAAGGCTATGAAGTCACTGGACAGACAGAGCAGCTCTTTCCATCTGCCAGGCAGCCTCGCCGAATCCCCTCGGCCCAGCCTTTGTGTGGTGGGCTTTTCCCCAGGGCAGCTGCCTGATCTGGAAGCAGCAGGCGCCTCATCTTCCTTGCTCTGCATCTGCTGAAGACATCTTAGTGCCCTTCAGCAAGCAAGATGCAAAGGCAACCCACCCCAAGCTGCCCCCCTTCGTATGTGGTGAGAATTCTCCAACCAGGGGCAGGTGCAAAGTCTCTGGAGGGGGCAGCCGAGGGAAGGCTTCTCTTCCTGAACAAAAGGATTGACCCTCTGACATACAAGGAACAGGACGAGACACAACTCAGATGTGGCAAAGGCTGGCAGCTTGCAGGCTTGAGACAAGCACACGGGTGCTGAATCCTTGTGTGCAGGGAGAAGCTTAGCTTGGAAACCTTGCCCCCGTGCTTGACAAATGCTTTTGCTTCATCTTGTAAAGCCTGGATGTTTGGAATTCAAAGGAATTAAATGACACCAGAAATTAAGCTCTTAGACCCCTTGCATTTTGCCTACTGTGCAAATAGACCAGATATTTTCTCTTTGCGCCCTGATAGCAAAACATCTGTCACTGCCTAGGATTGAATTCTCAACCTTCCAGGTGGGAGATGAGAGTCTTCACCTCTAGGCCACCACGCTGCTCTGCTCATCCTTAGGTTTATGATGAACAATAAAAAAAATCAACATTCACACAGCATAGAAAATGTGTTTTTCAATTTAATTTTGTGTTCTCCTGGCCCAGGGAGGGATCTGTTCAGGTCGCCTGCAATGGAAGGGTCCCTCAGTGTACATTGGACAGCTCCAAGCTGATACCTGTTGCAAAGGGATCCTGCCTTGCGCAGACTGACCCTGCTGCTGTCCTCTTCTTCTGCAGATCTGGCCATATGCCCTTCATTTCAAGGGACCAGCTCTGTCTTCCAATAGGGAGCCTGGCAATAGCCTGAAATTCCTGAGGGACCCAATGTTCCCTCGGTCCAGGGAGCTCCTGGTGACTCAGAACTGAAGCAAATGTTGGAAAAGATTTGAACCACATGTATCAATGCAGCATTTTATTTTGGCATCCAACTTTTTAAACTTGTTTGCATCCTTGACTGGGTAGGTCTTCAGCAATCCCTAGACAGGCATAATTGTCATCTTCCCTAATCTTTCTTATTCCGAGCCTGGAGCCACCACCCTGATGGGCCAAGAAGGGAAATGGGGCAGCAACCCTGCAAGAGTCCCCTTTGCCTGGCTCTGAGGAGCCCTGGAGCATAAAGCAAGTTTCACGCCTCCAGAGACACAATTAACTTTTGATCTATTACTGCGTGCAGAAATGGCTTTTCAGCCCCACACTGAACTTGGCATTTAAAAGAGTCCTTGGATGGAGAAGCGCCGGCAGCAGAATGGCTGCTTGTAGATTTAAGAGCTGAGCCTTGAATCAATCATTTATATTCAAAATTGCACTCTTCTCCTAACGTCTGTTATCTCAGGCACATCCTGGCTTATATTAATTTCAGAGATGAACTTTGCGATGCTCGAGGCACGTGCAGGCATTGTAAGGGGAGAGGCAGGTTAGTCCATGGTAGCAAAAACCAGGAGGAGTCAGGGACCACCTTTTCCCTCTAAGAATTTGTATTCAAAAGTTTATACAAGTTGGGAAATCCTTCTGATTTTTTGAGGCACATGAGCATTTCTTTTTTCTGGATCAAAACTTTTGCTTAGCAAACTGTTAGCTAAGCAAAAAAAAAAAAAAGCATGGAAACATTTCATCTGATCCCTGCTTTAATTTCCCAAAACCAGCTCAGCATTCCTGGATTGGCGGAGTGTGACTTTCCAACTACTTCCCTCACAACCATCGTCCCAGGTGCGGCCTTGCATGGTAGGTGGCTGCCATTCAGGCACCTCCTGCTGCATCTTTGCACTCCCCTCCCTTGCGGTGAGCAGAGCGTCAGGGCGGACGGAGTGCTCCCTCTTCTGAAGGGCACAATACAATCCCATCCTGGTCTGCTTGCATCTAAAACTACCCTTCGGACCTAAACTTGTTGTCCACAGGAGATTTTAAAGAAGAGACTAGACAATCATCTGTCTGAGATGGTATAGGTTCTCCTGCTTGAGCAGGGGGCTGGACTAGAAGACCTCCAAGGTCCCTTCCAGCTGTATTCTATTATTATTCTGTTCTATTACAAACAACAGGAAGGGACGTGGGAATCAGCCGTATGCATTCAATAATTTAAATTCAAGTTTATCTGTAGCCCCAACCACTTCTTGGTCTAACCCTGGTCAATGGTTTGAGCTGCGCCTTTAGCAAGCACTCAGAAGCAAGCTCAGCCCTTGACTCACTAAAGCTTGGGCTGCCCTGATTTCTGCAATTCATCTTCCAAAGATCTGAGGTGATGGAGATCACTGGTGTTCTCTGAGATTGGTTGGGTTGCTTGCAGACATTTCATGACCCAGGGAACATCATCCGCTATAAGGGAGGGTGGGGCTTGCTGCCTATTGATATACGTACAGCAGTTGGAGTGCAGCAGCAGATCCACTCTAACTGAGCCTCGTTCAAGGAGAGAGGATTGGAGCCCCAAAGCCCAAGAGCTCCGCAGTTAAACCAGCCATCTGGAAACCTAACTCTCTGCAGCTCAGTTGCCTTTAATTATATGGCATTTGTTGACAACAGAACCCTTCATTTTTAATTGGCCTCAAAGGGAAATTGAGCTGAACAGCTGACAGTAAATTAAAACACGTATATGTGTGTGTGAGTCAACAGTTCACGGCACTACCAACTGAAACTAGACTATATTTAATTCGCAACAAAGACTGTGTTGGTAGTAACATCGCTTCCTCTGCAATCTGACGTAACGTGTATTTTGGGATGTTTAAAAAAATTGTATGCTT